TCCTGATTAAAAATCTCTCTGTCTCTGCCTTGAATTTACTTAACAAACCAAATTCAACAGCCCTCATTGGTAAAGATTTGCAGATTTACAATCCTCTGAGAGGAGAAATTCCTGCTGATTTCTATTTAAAATTTGTGACACCTTATTCTAAGAATATGCCCTGGTTCTAGATGCTCTGAGAAGGGGAAGCAACCTTTCTGCATCTACTCTGTCAAATCTTCTAAGAATCTTATATGTTTCAATAACGTTGCCTCTCATTCTTCTAAACTCCAAAGAGTACAGGCCCAACCTATTCAACCTCTCCTCATTAAACAATCCCTCTGTAATAGCCTCATGTGCCAATATGCCTTACCTTAGAAAAGGGGCCCAAAATGGTTCACAGTATTCCATCTGTGGTCTGACAAGTGTCTTGTATAGTTTTAGCAAAACCTCCCTACTTTTATACTCCATTCCCTTTACTTCAAAGACTAACATTCCATATTACCCGCTGAACATGGATGCTAGCTTTTGTGATTTATGGGCGATTATACCCAAATCCCTCTGTTCTATAGCTTTCTGCACTCTTTTTCTGTATTTAAATAATAGTCAGCTTCTTTATTCTTCCTGATTAAGTGCAAATTTTCCCACATTATATTCTATCTGCCAAGTTTTTGTCCTCTTGCTTAATCTGTCTATATCCCTCTGCAGACTTTGTCATCCTCGCCATTTGCTTCCCCACGTATTTTTGTATCAGCAAACTTGGCTGTAGTACATTCAGTTTCCTCATCCAAGTCATGAGTAGCATATCAAGTATAACTGTGTACCAATGTATGCAATGTCTCAAATATTAATTTGATAATTCCTAATGATGGCAAGCACTTTGTTTTGGACATATCCAAACACTAATTTGGAGATCCCAAGGTTTCCGTTGGTGAGTCTATGCTCCATGTTGCTATGCATTTTACAGGTTGACCAAGACTGCTTTGGATAAGGAAAGCTCCTTTTTTGCTACTGAGCACAATATGTAATTCTTGAAAGCCAGAACAAATTGGTCATTTTCAAGTTGACAAACTGTAACTATTGAAATGTCACAGAGAGGCATGCAGGATCTTAGCTGTTAACATTCTATAGCCATGACATGAATGAAGGACAATATGCAAGGAAAGGTTATAAATGGTTGCAAGGTTATTTTCCCCATCATCCAATAAATTTGGTGATTTTCATTTAAATCAATGCATTGACTTCTTTAGTATCAGAATTCCTGACAAATTTTAAAATAAAACTTAAAAGTCCACAGTAAATATAGAAACTCAAGAGAGTAATAAACATCAGGGTATGCATTTTGTCTGTTCTTTCTCCCATTATACACCATATACTGCTCAAGTGGGATATAATATAAAAGATCATAGAATCCTTACTGTGTTGTAGCCAAAATTTGCTGCTGATAAAATGTTAGGTAGGAAAGCAAGTTGTGAGGATATAAAGGGTCTGTGAGCAGAGGTTTGGCAGATAAGATATAATATAGGAAAATGTGACATTGATCACTTTGCTGAGAGGTTTTGCAGGAAGAATAGAAAAGTGGAATATTGTTGAAATGGATCGAGACGGCAGAATACTGAAGTACAGTGGGATCTTGGTATCCTTGTACATGAATTAAAAATGTTAGCATAGAGTTAGACATAGAATGTTATTTCCTTTTAATGTTGTTTATTCTTGCAGTTTACTTTGCCAACACTTATTGTCATCTCAAATCAGCATCCAGTACTGTACTGCCTGTACCCGAGGCACACTTTGTTTATTCTAGCCACAAGCAAAGTGTCTTAGCTTGCTCTTGGTCTTGCTTTCTGGTTTTGCTACCCACCCCATTCCTCTACATCAGGCCTTGTTCCCCTCAGATATACAGTGCTTCTGTTTGAAACAGTTCAGAGACTGTTCAATCAGTTAATTCCTTTGATGAAAGTTGTCTTATGAGGAAGCATTGAGCAGCTTAATTGGGGTATAGAAGATTAAGAGGTAACTTTCCCAAAGAGATTCAATACAGTGCTACACAATAGACTTGAGAAAAGTTATAGCTCATGGAATCAAAGGGACAGTGGCATTGTTGAAACTAAATTGGCTGAGTGGTAAGAAACAGAATAATGGTGAAAGGCTATTTTTCAGACTGGAGGAAGGTTGGTAGTGAAATTCCTATCAATTGGTATTGGGACCCATCTTATTCCTGATTTATCTTAATGATCTATTGCTTGGAGGGCAGGGAATAATTTCAAAGTCTGGATGATACCACACTTGGAAGCATTGAAAACTGTGGTGATAAATAGAAGATGCAGAAAAGTTAGATGTCACATATGTTGGCACGTTGAACATGGTAACTTGGTAGAAAAAGTGTTCCACACTAAAAGGTGTGTGGAGCTGAGACACCTTTGTGCACATGTACAAAAAGACGTTAAAGATGACAGAACATGTGGAGAGGGTAGTTAATAAAATATGCAGTATCCTAGGCTTTATTAATAGAGGCATAAAGTACAAGAGCAAAGAAGTTATGCTGAACACCAGTTAGACTTCAGATGGAGTATTGTGTACAGTTCTTGAAAAAGGATGGGATTACATTGGAGAAAATGAAGAGATTTTCAAGAATGGTTCCATGGATAAGAAATTTCAATTATAAATATAGATTGGGGAAATTGGGACTGTTCTCTTTGGAGAGAAGACGAAGAGGAGATTTGATGGAAGTTTTCAAAATCATGAGGGTGTTGGACAGAGTCAATAGGAAGTACTGTACCTGCTCACAAAAAGATCAAGAAGATAGGGAACACATTAAAAGTCATTTGCAAGAGAAGTAAATATGATGTGAAAAAGAAACTTATTCAGACAGCAAGTGGTTCAGGTCCAGAACAGACTGCCTAAAAGTGTCGAGAAGGCTGTTTGAATTGAGACATTCAGGGTGGCATTGGATGATTACTTAAATTGGGTAATGGGATAAAGGTGGTGGAATGGCACCGAATCACAATATTCATTCGGAAAATTGGTGCAATAATAGTAGCCTAAGCAGCCTTCTGCACTGTAACACTGATTGTTGTCAAGCTTTGTCAGATTCTGAGGGTACCAAGTGAGGTAGTTGCTGACACGATTTTATGCTTCATGGTGGAATCCAGAAGCTATGGTACATTTTAAAGAAAAGGGGTCGCTCACTTAATATGAGATGAGCAGGAATTTTTTGTGAGAATTGTTAGTGTTTTGAATTCTGTACCCAAAGAGCAGAGAAGGCTGGATCATTGTGGTATGTTCAAGGCTGAGTTGGACAATTTTTGAACTACAGGGTTATGGCAGGGGTTGGTGTTTGTGGTGGTAGGCAAGAAACTGATCTTATTGACAGGTGGACCAGCTTTGATGATCAGAGTGGCCTCCCCCTCTGATTTCCGATAGTCTTATCAATTTATACACTTGCAGTACCTGAATTTCTCTGGCTGATTAATTGACAAAGAATGTTAAATAACACTTAGATGTTGTGAGTTTGAGATTATTTTGGGACTGTATTTAACGTAGGGTAAAGATAAAGTGAGTCATATGACCTGTTCTGACATCTAGCTGATGTGGCTGTTAATCGTTAAAAGGAGCACCAGATTGTTTTATTAGGAAGAATGTGAAAACTGTTCACAATTGCAGACAATAGCGACAACTTCTGTCTGCTTCCAGTGGTTAGAAATCAGGAAGATGTTGAGAATGTCAGTTTGTAAGCAGTTATGCTTTAAACTGTCTATTTAATTCCAAGGTTAGATATAATTTGGCTGTAAATAGAATAGAATCCCTACAGTGTGGAAACAGGCCCTTTGGCCCAACAAAGTCCACACTGACCCTCACAGCAGCCCACCCAGACTCATTCCCCCTATAATACACCAAATCTACACATCCCTGAACACAGTGGGCAATTTAGCATGGCCAATCCACCTATGTTCTCCCTGGACAGAAGGCCCATGTTATCAGCATTGCCTTGGAGATGGGCTTTGAGGAAAGAAGGATTTCTAACATATTCATGAAACTCGGGGATACAGCTATTTTTTTCCAGAATCAGAGAGAGAGCAGCTCACCACCACCTTCTCGATGGCAACTCGGGATGGGCAAGAAAAGCTGGCCAGCCAGCAATGCCCACATCCCACAAAAAGTGAATAGAAAAAAAAAGCTAGAGACAAATGCCACAGAAATGCTGAAATCTTGTATCTATTTCATGACATTATAGTAAAAACGAAAGTAACTGATATACCTTTGACTAGAGGATTGCAAGATATGGAAAATGAACACATTTTCTGGAATTTCACTGTTAAAGGGTGAGTGGTGTTACGCTGGCTGAGCTGATTGCAAAAGGTCCTTTATAATTTTCCGTGTTCAGTGAAACCTTTTATGCGTCAGAGAAGAAGTTAACAATGCGTAAGTGAACACATAAGTGATATTTACAAGCTCTTTGCTGAATTGTGAGAATTGAACATCAGACAATATGCAAGGAGCGGTTATAAATGGTTGCAAGGTTATTTTCCCCATCATCGAATAAATTTGATTATTTTCATTTAAATCAATGCATTGACTTCTTTAGTATCAGAATTCCTGACAAATTTTAAAATAAAACTTAAAAGTCCATAGTAAATATTCAAACTCAAGAGATAATAAACATCAGGGTATGCATTTTGTTTGTTCTTTCTCCCATTATACACCATATACTGCTCAAGTGGGCTATAATATAAAAGATCATAGAATCCTTACAGTGTGGAAGCAGGCCATTTGGCCCATCGAGTCCACACTGACCCACCTAAGAGCATCCCACAATTGATATACGTCTTTCTACAAAATATGCTGTTATCCGTTGGAATTCTGTGGGTTTGTCAATTCTCCATGTGACTCTTGAAGCTGGAGTGAAAAGTTCCTGTGTTATGAAAACTTGTAAATGCTTTCTTACTAATTATACATTAAAAAATAATTGTTCAAAAAATCTGACCTTTTTTTTGACTCAATGAATTGATTTTTATCTACAGGAGGAAAGTTTACCAGATTTTGAAAGAAGAAGGGATTGAGTTGCCACGCTACGCAATACTGAATCGTGATCCAAATAAACCAGATGGTAACTTATTTCTAGATCTGGCTATTTTTGTTGACTTTTGATATTGTGTGGATATAACATTAAATTTGGTAGTAATGTTGAAAGTTGAAGTTTCATGATATTAAAGTAAGTGTAAGTAAGATCATTTGCTTCACTCAATTCACCCAGACTGAGAGGTCCTATTTTCCGTCTCAAATATGTGTTGAATATTGAAGGCATGGTTGCCAATCTATATGTAGTTTGCCTTTAGAGGAGCTTAGTGAGCCATCTTCAAAACAATTATTTTTTTGAGGGCTGCTCTTGAGATTTCTTCACAGGCTTCTTTTTGGAATTTGGGGGTGACTTCATTTTCACTAATTCATTTGATTTAACAGTACCTTCAGTATTGTGTTGGCATATAGGATATTTGAACTTGAATAGAAGCAAAATTAGAATAATTCATTAATTATCAATTCTTTGATAAATTTAAAGGAAAAATATGCCAGGAAAACATTAATTTGTTTGACACCACAGTTTGTAATTGTGACAAGATGACAGCCATAGGTTAATAGTTATTTTTGAAATAAATAACTGCCATAGACTTTTACACTCTAAACACACCTTGCACAGACTGCTGAGGTCACAGTGAATGTGTTTCCATCAAACATGTACACAGCTGAAACATTTTAACCAGAAAATTACAACCCTACTAATTACATCACAGGCCTCGATCTCAGATTAAATTTAACAGTTGACAGTGTTTGCTACAGTAGACTCCACTGTATTCTCAATATAGTAGCCCCTAAATGAAATGCTGCTATAAATTAGACATTCCACATCGATATGCAAGAAATAATTACCTCACTGATTTGAGATTTTCTTGGATTTCAATTAGCTGTGTATTCCCTTTAAGATAGGTTTAAACCTGTTCTCAGCTTCCTTTCTTCTCTCATCTGTTTTCCCACCCTCCACCAATTCCTGTCACATCCCCCAATCATTGCAACCTCCGTCTCTTGCCCAAAACCCTCTTGCAGCCATTTTATCTGCCACTGAGATAGTCATTATTTTATTCTTGTCAGTTCTGGTTTCGAGTTGAGAACTGATGGTGACCTTTGGACTATGAGCAGCAGCTTGTATTTTTAAAAAAGAAAATTTAAAAAATTGTTATTGCTTATGAGGCTAGGCCTGGATGTTAATTACAGGTTAGTCCTTGTTAAAAGAATGTTGTAAATGTTTTAGTTCTGGAGATGTATTTTTCTGAAACACACAGCAAGCTTTGACTGTTAACTGGAGCCTCAAAGGCCAGCGTAACAAAGAGAAACTAAAACTTGAACTGGTTTTGAGCTGTGTTTAAGTCAGCAGGATTATGGCTGTAAAAGCTACAGGGCAGTGTTTGATTGCTCCCTGATTGTCCTCCTGTTATCAACCTTTTGAAGGTTCAGAGAATAGAATATAAGTATGAAGTGAATATTCCTCAGAGCCCAGTGGAAGCTATTGGCACATATCAGTGTCTTCAGAAATCAAGCAGGATGCAATCCCATGTGACTGTGATGTTACAGAGTGTGGAGTCTGCTTAAATGAACTGGCACCTCAGCTTTTTCTTTAATTTATCCCTTGACTGTCTGTTTGTCTCTCTGAGAGAGTGGGGGTCTAGAATCAAAGAAAATTGTCTACAAATCATATACATTAGTTATATTATCTTGTGATTTAACTTTGCTCTGCTAAAGCTACTGTAATATTAATAAATCGGTAATTCTTTTGTTTAAGCTATAAACTTGGCGTCGAATATCGATTATTCTCACAGTCTGGTTTTAGTCATTCAGAAAGTCTAAGTCAGGAATCATTGGGGTCAATTTTGAGGGTCATGGAATATTTCAATTTAACTATGTTGCAAATACAGGATAGGGAGGCTGATTTAATTTGGCTGTCTGTTCCGACACTGTAACACTGCATAGTCCTCTTGCAGCTCTTTCTTTTACCCTAATCCTCTTTAGCCTGTGTCTTTCCCCTTTCACCTCTAGCAGCCTCCTGCTGCCCCTCCCATATGATCCTTTCAACCTCCCTCTCTGCTCATACCTGTAAGATTCCTTATCCCCATCCACCCCATCCTGTCGAGACAACTCCCTCACCTGTTACCCCATTAGGTGCTCCCTGCTTCACCACTGCACTGAATTTGAATACAGTATGGCCTTTGAACATGTTATTGATGAGTAATTGCTTTTTGATAGCAATGTTTACAACACTTTCCATCATTTGGTTTGATTAGTTGGGAGTAGGCTAATAAGTTGGCAATTTGGTTGGGTTGATTTTGTCCTGATTTTTGTGGACAGCATATATTTCAATCTTCCAATTAAAATGCAGATGCCATTGATATAACTGTACCACAGCACCCTGGTTAGAGATGTTGTCAGTATTGAAGACCGGTGCTGTAATACTGACAGAACCAGAACTGTCACTTCTGCTTTTCTTCGTGCGGTTACTGATTTCTTGATATGACATGAAGAGAGCAAATCATTACTAATGTCCCCAATTTATTAGCATTATTCTTTTCAATCTCTTGCACATTCTTTGCCTGCAGAGTACATTAATGATGTAATTGTTAAAATTAATTTCAAGTTATCATTATTTTGACCTTCTGTTCCCTGCTGTTTGTGCAGTTAAATTTTATGCAGTATTTTGTTTACACACTTTCTGTATTCCTAACCATCTTTAATATTTCTATATGATATTTCATATGCCACTGTTACACCAGTTTGGCTTGGGCTACTATGGTTACCTTGTCCCAGTTAAACTGACGGCCTTCATTGTCTGAGGGTACCGATATTAAGGAGAGTTTGTTGTGCCGTTTTAATACTAGTTGATGTTCATGTCTTCTGATGGCTAGTTTCCTTCCTGTCTGTCCGATGTAATAAAAACAAAGTTGCTGGAAAAGCTCAGTAGGTCTGGTAGCATCTGTTAAGGAAAAAAGAGTTAACATTTCGCGTCCGGTGACCCTTCCTCAGAACGCTATTTAGAGTGTCCGAACCTAATGCAGCTTTGTTTGTGGGCGTTGTGCAAGGACACACTGCAACACCCTGGAACTACGCAGGAAAGAGGAAGAGCAGCTGTACAAAATCCTCGCTATAAACGGACATCCCCACAACTTCATCTGCAGATGCCTACTAAACAGACAACGACAGGAGGACACAGAGATAGAAGGAACTGCCGATGCTGGAGTCTGAGATAACTAGGTGTGGAGGGGATGAACACAGCAGGCCAGGCAGCATCAGAGGAGCAGGAAAGCTGACGTTTCGGGTCTGGACCCTTCTTCAGAAAATCAGGAGAACACAGTACGCCCTAACACACTACCCCACATCAAGAACATATTGGAACTGACAACAAGACTCCTAAGACCACTGGGAATCATGGTACCACACAAGCCCACAGCCACTCTACAACAAACACTTACAAGGAATAAAGACCCCATTCCCATAACATGCACAACCAGCATGGTTTACAAAATACCATGCAATGACTGCGATAAACATTACATCGGACAGACAGGAACGAAACTAGCCATCAGAATACATGAACGTCAACTAGCAGCAAAATGGCACGACAAACTCTCCTTAATATTGGTACCTTCGGACAATGAAGGCCATCAGTTTAACTGGAAGAAGGTAACCATAGTAGCTCAAGCCAAACAAGGACACGTGCGGGAATTCCTAGAGGCATGGTTCTTCACCCGTAATGTAATCAACAAACATGCAGAATTGGACCCTATATACAAACCCATATAGATGAAAACCGGAAATGACACTACTCCCCGTAACGGACTGGACAGTATAAATTCCAAGCAGAGTAGAATAACATCGCTTCTTTGGAGGCCTCTCTGATGATGTCACCTAGTGTGGTGACGAAACGTCTGAACGAAAGCAAGCCAGCTTGGCGAGCAAGTCAACAACCTCGCGCTCAACCTAAGCTACAGATCTTTGCCAAAACTTTAAATTTTACAGATCCTTTTAATGTTTGAAAATCATGCTGAGCATTGCCTTTGTGGCTCCTTGGAAACATTGCAGCTATTGTGTCACAAAGCTAGCTCTCTGGGATTGACTAAAATTTCCTCAATGGCCTTTAAGGAGTGGACGACAAATGCTGACCTAAGCTCTAAAGTAGAATTTTTAAAAAATAAGATAAACGAAACTTTTTCTCTTCTTTAGAATGTAATTTGGTAGAGGGTGAAGATCATGTGGAGGTAAATGGGGATGTCTTTCAAAAACCATTTGTGGAAAAACCAGTGAGTGCTGAGGACCACAATGTTTACATTTACTATCCAACATCTGCTGGTGGAGGAAGTCAAAGACTGTTTCGAAAGGTACGCTTTGTATTACTTTATAACGCTTAGAGTCATAAAGTTTGTACAGTGCGAAACAAGCCCATTATGTCCATGGTGGTCATCAAGCATCTATCTATTCCAATTCCATTGCAACTGTTCATCTAAATATTAAAATATCTGAGGGCACCTGCCTCTATGACTTTTCAGGCAGTGAGTTCCAGATACCAACAAGCCTGAAAAAATCTGTGCCTTGACTGCCTTTTCAGCAGTGAGCTCCAAAGTTACCCAACCCCCCAAAAATAAAAATTCTCATGAGTGAATAAAAAATGTCCATGGAAATCACTGGCTGACCAGCACTTTTGTCTGCCTTAGTTGCCCTTTAAAAGATAATGATGAGCTGCTGCCTTGAACTACTGCTGTAGATAGACCCATAATGCCCTTCGGGAGGGAATTCCAGGACTTTGACCCAATGGCAGTGAAGGAATGTCAATATATTTCCAAGTCAGGAAAGTGAGTGGCTTGAAGGGAAACTTGCTGATGGTGGTGGTCCATGTGTCTACTGCCCTTGTCCTTCTGGTTGGAAGTGATCATGGGTTGGAAAACGCTGTCTAAGGATATTTGGTAAATTTCAACAGTGCATCTTGTATATAGTATACACTGCTGCTACTGACTTTCGGTGATGGAGTGAGTAAATGTTTGTGGATGTGGTATCAGTCAAGCAGGCTTCTTTGTCCTGGATGGTGTCAAGGTTCTTCAGTGTTGTTGGAGCAGCACTCGTCTAGGCAAGTGGAGAGAAGTCCAAAACACTTCTGAACTGTGGCTTGTGGATAGACTCCGGCTAGATATACTTTGGGAAGTCAGGAGGTGAGTTATTCGCTGCAGTGTTCCTAGCTTCTGTCCTGCCCTTGTAGCCACTGTATTTAAATAGCAACTCCCGTTGAGTTTCTGGCCAATGGTAATCCCAAGGATGTTGATAGAGGGGGATCCAGTGGTGGTAACACCATTAAATGTCAAGGGGCAGTGGTTAGATTGTCTCTTACTGGTGATGGTCCTTGCCTGACATCTGTGGTGTGAATGTTACTTACCACTTGTCAGCCCAAACCTGGATATTGTTCAGATCTTGTTGCATTTGAATCTGGACTGCTTCAATATCTGATTCATTTTAAAAGGTGCTGAACATTGGGCAATCATCAGCGAACATCTCCACTTCTGGTCTTACCAGGGGGAAAGCTCATTGAAGATGGCTGGGCCTAGGACACTACCTTAAGGAACTGCTGCTGAGCTGACTGTCCTCCAACAACCACAACCATCTTTCTATGTGCCAGGTGTGATGCCATCCATTGGAGATATAATCCCTCTGATTCCCATTGATTCCATTTCTGCTAGAGTTCCTTAATGTCACAATCGGTCACATGCAGCCTTGATATCAAGGGCTGTCACTCTCACCTCCCCTCTGGAATTCAGCTTTTTTTTTTTGTCCATTGTTGAACTCAAGCTGTAATGAGGTCAGAAGCTGAGTGATCCAAACTGGACATCAGTGAGCAAGTTATTGCTGAGTGGTTGCTGCTTGATAGCACTTGATGACACCTTCCATCACTTTATTGATGATCAAGAGCAGACTGTTAGGGTGTTATTTAGCCAGGTTGGATTTGTCTTTCTTTTGTGTACAGGACAAACTGAGCAATTTTCCAAGTTGTCGGGTAGATGCCAGTGCTGTAACTGAACTGGAACAGCTTGGCTAGGGGTATGGCATGATCTGAAGCACAAGTCTTCAGTATTATTGCAAGAATGTTGTCAGGACCAACAGCCTCTGCAGTATCGAGTGCATTCAACCATTTATTGATATCATATGGAGTGGATTGAACTGGCTGAGGACTGGCATCTGTGATGCTGGGGAACACTGGAGGAGGTCAAGATGGAACATCCACTCGCTGAAGATGGTTGCAATGCTTCAGCCTTATCTTTGGCACTGATGTGCTGGGCTCTTCCTTCATTGAGGATGGGGATATTTGTGGAGTCGTCTCCTCCTGCGAGTTGTTTAATGGTCAACCAGCTTTGAAAACTGGATGTTGAAGGACTGTAGAGCTTGGGTCTGATCCGTCGGTTATGGAATCGCTTAGCTGTGTCTTTGATTTGCTGCTGATGCTGTTTGGCTTCGATTTAGTCTTGTTTGGTGGCTTTGTCAAGTTGGCACCTCATTTTACAATGTGCCTGGTGCTGCTGTTGGCCTGCCCTCTTGCACTCTCTATTGAACCAGGGTTGGTCCTGTGGCTTGATGGTAATAGTTGAGTTGGAGAAGTGTCAGGTCATGAGGTTGCAGATTGTGCTGGAGTACAGTTCTGCTGTTTTTCTGAAATCCCCTCTAACCTGCTTCTTACCTTAAAACTGTGTCTCCTTGTTACTGACCCTCCACTAAAGGGTAAGGTTTCTCCCTGTCTACCCTGACTGTGCCCCTCAGAAATATGTACACCTTGAATTGCTCCAACCTAGACAATATCCTGGTGAATCTTCTCTGCACCCTCTAATGCAATCACATTTTTCCTATAGGGTGACAACCAGAACTGCACACTGTACTCAAGCTGTGTCCTAAGTACCATTATATACAGCTTCATCATAACGTCCTTGTTCTTGTATTCAGTGTCTTCACTAATAAAGGCAATTATGTCTTATGCCTTCTTGGTCACTTTATCTACTTGTCATAGATCCTTGAAGCAACAGGACCACGTACACCGTACCAATGCCTCTGATTGTCTGTACTTCCTGTGGTCCTGCCATTCAATGTGTACTCTCTTCACTTGTTAGTCCCCTCAAAAATGCATCACCTCACAATTTGTAGGATTAAATTCCATTTGCCGTTGTTCAGCTGACCTGCCCATCCTGTCTATACTGTCCTGTAGTCAGAGGCTTTACTCCTCACTACTTATCACCCTGCCAGTGTTTGTGTAATCTCCAAATTTACTGATAAAGCCTGCTATGTTTATGTCTATGTAATCCATGTACACAACAAACATGAATGGACCCAGTACCAAACCCTTTGGTATGCCATTGGACACAAACTTCCTGTCACACAAACATCCTTCAAACATCACCCTCTACATCTGGCCTCCATCTCTGTCACCTCGTTTTATTTTTTTAAATGACAAATTGCATTGATTAATTAAATTTAATGTAACAAGAAGATTACCTTCGACTCATTTCAGGGGTTTTTTTTGCTTCTTGCCACTCAGCCAATTTTGAATCCATATGAACATACAAATTAGGAGCAGATGTAGGCACAAACCATTGAATAAGTTCATTACTGATCTGTTTGTATTTTGAATTCCACATTCCCAACTACCCTAAAATAAACTTTGATTTTTGTTAGGCAAAGGAGTCTATCTACTTTAGCCTCAAAAAAAAACTTCAAGTCATTGAATCTCACTTTGGTTATGGGTAAATTGTTGGAGGTGATTCTAAAAGGTAATATTTATACACATTTAGAGAGGCAGAAATTGATTAGGGATAGTCAGCATGGTTTTCTGTGAGGAAACTTGTGTTTCACAAACTTGATTGAGTTTTTTGAGAAAGCTACAAAAATGTCTGAGAGTAGAGCAGTAGACGTTATTTACTTGGACTTTACCAAAGTCTTTGATGAGGTTCGGCATGGTAGACTAATTAATAAAGTTAGATCACATGGGATTCAGGGTGAGTTTGCCAATCGGATACATAATTGGCTTAATGGCAGGAGACAGAGTGCTCGTGGAGGTTTGCTGTTTGGAGAGGAGGCCTGTCACCAGTGGATTATCCATAAAGATTGGTTCTGGGACCCCTTTTATTTGTCATTTATGTAAATGATTTGGATGACAATATAGAAGGCATGGTTAGTAAGTTTGCGGACAACAATTGGTGACTTAGTAGACAGTGAAGAAGGTTATCTAAGATTACAAAAGGATCTTGAACAAATGGGTCAATGGGCTGAAAAATGTCAGATGGAATTCAATCTGTATAAATGCAAATGGCGGGGCCTTGGGTAATATTGCAGAACAGAGGGATCTAGTGGTTCAAGTACAAAATTCTTTTGAAGTTTGCATCACATATAGACGTGGTGGTTAAAACCATGTTTAGCATGGTTGCCTTAATTGCTCAGTCCTTTGAATATAGGAGTTGGGAAGTCATGTTGAGGTCTCTTCTGGAGTACTGTGTCCAGTTCTGGTCACCCAGTTATAGGAAGGATATTATTAAGCTGGAGAGAGTTTAGAAGAGATTTATCAGGATGTTGCTGGGTATGGAAGGTTTGGTTATAAAGGCTGCATAGGCTGGGACTTTGTTCACTGGAGCATAGGGAGTTGAGAGGTAACCTTATAGAGATTTATAAAATCATGAGAGGTATAGATAGAGTTAATGGTAGGCACCTTTTCCCTAGGTTGGGGGATTTCAAGACTAGGGGGCACAATTTTAAGGTGAGAAGAGAGAAATTTAAAAAAGACATGAGGGACAATTTTTTTTTACACTGAGGGTGGTTCGCATGTGGAATGAACTTCCTGAGGAAGTGGTGGATGTGGGCACAATTACAACTTTTAAAAGACACTTAGATAATACATAAATAGGAAAGGTTTGGAGGGATATAGGCCAGGAGCAGGCAGGTGGGTCTAGTTTAGTTTGGGATTATGTTTGGCATGGACTGGTTGGACTGAAAGGTCTGTATTTGTGCTGTATGACTATGACTCTGCCTCCACTACCTTCTGAGATAGTTAGCTCCAGAATTGCACAACTCTGAGGAAAAAAAAAACTTTTAACGCATATCTGTTCTAATTTGTAAACTCTGCCCACTAGTTCTGGATGACCAGAATTTTTTCCTGCCACTCAGTTAATTTTGTATCCATATGAGCACACAAATCATAATCAGAAGTTGGCCATTCAAGCTTATTAATGTTCATTAAGGTCATGGTTGATCTGTTTGTGCTCCCTGCTTCTGGATTTCACTTGAACATAATTTTAGCACAGGATGAACCCCATTAAATGATGTTATGAGGTTCTTGTATTCAGCTGTGGATTCAAATATAGCAAATGTGCCATCAACATATTGGAAATATGCAAGTGTATGAGGTTAAGTGTCATTAATGTTTGAAATGCAATGGCCAAATGAAGTCCATTTCCTCTGTCCCAGTTAAGAAATTAGCAAGAGTGTTCTCTACACTCTCTACTGCAATGCTACCTTCACTGGTCAGTATAAATATTGGGATTCCTGCAGTACCACATGCTTGTCCCAGTAACAGCTTTACAATTTGGGCTAGAGCCATTTATTCACTATGCAAAGCTGCTGGGTACTTCAAAGCCTTCCGGCAAGATAATGGCCACTCTGATTAGATTACTTCTTGCTGTATATCATGCACTCGTGGAAAATCCCAGGGTATTCACTTATCCTGAAAAGTGCATCCTTTACCTCACATTAGAGAAAGGTATCGCAAAAGTTTGTGCAAAAGGAGCCAGCTGTTTCACATTGCTACTATGCTGTTGTAACGTCCATCGTCTTCAACACTGCTGGGGTCTTGCTGCCAAGTCATAAGGATGTTCTGCCTATCGCACCAATTAGTAACGTGGTATGATTGTCAGTGTCAGCTTGCTGCTAGGTATGTAGGCCATACAGCCAAAAAGACTGGCTGCAAGTATAAAATTGTGTGACTTTGCAACCAGCACACTGTGTTGCCAGTTTTGCAAAGTTTGCAATATCTGACATTAAATGTGCTACTATAATTGGACATCATTTGCTGGATAATCCAGAATGTACAAGGAATTATGCTGCTGACCAATTCTGGATTGTCAGCAGGGCTTGCAGTGTGACACACCTGTATCTACTGGAAACTAAATATTATTACTACACTGGGCCTGGATCTTTGCAGATAGGAAGAACATGTCCACACGCTGCCCGTTTGAGCTCAACACGATAGGTCATTGTTAATCAGTCATTGGTTTAATTCGCAGGACAGAGCCCTTACAAATGAGTCAGTCTGTCTGGTTTAAAATTTAAACAAATTTGGCAGTTAATTGTCAATCAGCAATAATTTTTCGTGGCAATGATTCTCCCAGTTGGAGTCCACTTGCCAACCGTTCAGTACTCTATTATGCTGCATAAATGTTGGTTTCGCCACAAATTTGCACTCCTGCAAAACATGCAAGTGAGTGCAAGACAAAATGCTACAAGTAAAATGTCACTCTTTTTCAGTCACATTCAAGTTCTGTGAGATCAAATGTCTTACCATGCAAATGCCACTTCTTTTTGTTTCAGATTGGCAGCAGAAGCAGTGTTTATTCTCCGGAAAGCAGTGTCCGGAAAACAGGCTCTTATATATATGAGCAGTTTATGCCAACAGATGGAACAGATGTGAAGGTAACAGATTCAACTATTATCTTTTTAACACAGTCAATATTTAGGGGATGCAATGAACAAAGAATTTGAACCGTCTCATTTGCAATAGTATCAGGCCATTAAATGCAAAGAAATCATAATCCAACATTCTCACAGTCAGAAATTACACAACACCAGGTTATAGTCCAACAGGTTTATTTGAAATCACAAGCTTTTGAGGCGCTGCTCCTTCTTTGTGAAGTCGAGTTCACTTGACAAAGGAGTAGCGTCCAAAAGCTGTGGTTTCTAATAAACCTGTTGGATTATAGCCTGGCGTTGTGTAACTTTTGACTTTGTCCACGCCAGTCTAACACCGGCACCTCCACATCACAACATTCTCACAGGTTGGGCACAATTCACTTTTCCTCTTGCGCTCTCTCTCTCTCACTGGCAGTTACCCTCACCCACTGTTATCCTCTCCTCGCTCTCTCGCTTGGCCTCACCCCTATTGCTCAGCTCTCTCCATGCCACTTCTCTCCTGCCCTCCTCACCTGACTCATTCACTCACTCATCTCTGTCTTGCCCCTCGATTGCCAAGCCCACTTGTCTGACTCTCTCTCGCTTGATCCCTCACCCTCTCTTCCAACCCCCCAAATCCACCCCTCCAATCCAACCTTAGCCCTGCCCCATTTACTTCACTCCCCCTCCATCAACCCCTCACTCCCAACTTTTGCACCCACCCCCTCCCCCCCACTACCACCCTTTGTCTGCCCCGACCGCTGCTCCTCCAGTCTTTATCTCCTGAATTTGATTCTGATATCTTTTCTAATAAGTCTACCAGTAGCAAACACTGAGGACACGTGATCTCTGTTAAAGTAGTTCATTGCAATCACTTCCAGTTTTATGCACCTGCATTTTGAACAATGGCTTCACAGAGTATGTTGAACATCTTAGCACAGGCCACTGTTTGCACAAACCTGATATTGCATTCCTAGTGCCCTGGCAAGATTATTTCTTTCAAGACAAAATAAATAGTTAATAAACTGTGTATTTCCTGAGTACTTGTAAAATAATATGTCAGATGGTGGCCTACCTGCTATTTTCTCTCCAATTTGCTTACCTGTTAGAAATAAATTGCACTTAAAATTCAACTTTGCTCTCCTCCATGAGGCTTTCCTGCTGGAATATCATGAGATCTCTAACAGCAATCTTATATATAATTTTTGCATAAAAACACGACTTAAGGTTTACACAGTTGGTCCAGATTATGCTCATGCTGAGGCCCGCAAATCTCCTGCTCTTGATGGTAAGGTTGAACGAGACAGTGAAGGAAAAGAAGTTCGCTATCCTGTCATTCTAAATGCAAGAGAGAAGTTAATCGCTTGGAAAGTTTGCCTTGCTTTTAAGGTAGGTGGTAGAATTACACATCTGTTTAGTTATTTTAATGTAATTGAATGAAATGTTTTGTGTGACTAATGAAAGTAATGAACTCTCTTGGAACATGAAATATTGTGGAATATAACTACTGTCTGACTGTTAAAGTTTGCCTATTTTAGAATTGCAGATCTGTAAACTTCTGGTTTTAGTGCAAAATTTTAATACTTCAAACTGATCTCTCAAATCATGAACATGTTGTTATCGCAAGTGTCATGACACTCAAATTTGCTTAAACATTTTCCTCTTGTACACTGACAGTTGGATACAATTACTCAGGTACTGAAGTATCTTAGAAATATACACTGTGATAGTGTGCATTCATTATAAAACAAAAGTAATGATCAAATCACTATGTTGGCTTCTGTATCAAAATGTTTTAAAAGTCTGAAAATTGTAGGCCATTGAACTCATTTGTTGGATAAATTTATATCTGTGCCTATTTTGAGGATTTCTGATAATTAGCTAATAATTAGAACTTTAGATTTCAGAAGACTTAAATTTTTTTTAACATGAAATGTGACTTTAACATACAAGAGAAAGATGATGTAACTTTAAACGGTTGACATTGACCAATCAAATAATTTGAGCATTGTTGAAAAAAAACATTTTCACAAAGCTTCTCTTCTTGCACTCGGGTCAATTTGCAAGAATGTCAATGTAAGGGGCAAGTATTATACTGTGTGAAAAGAGAGTGCTGATTGACAAATAAACTCTGGTAGCAGAATCGTTGCAGTGGTGAATGCACTGGTTTGATAACTGACAGTTAATTACCAAGCTTTGTTTGAACTTTAACAGGCAGGTTGACTGACCAGGCAATGCCTTGACCAAGAAAATGAAGAAGAGAATGACTGTCAGTTACTCTATTAAGTGAAAACATGCAATGGTGTACACATTCCATTTGTCTGAAAGAAACATGGTAGCGTGGCTTCCAGAAAGTCCAACTGATAAGCCTAAATGGGTTGTGAGCATAATTCTGTGCACACCCTGGACAATACTTCCAAAGCAATACTTTTGCGTAATCAAATCCAGTATTGAACACTGCTTTGAATTTTGCTAGTGTGGGCTAATCAGGTACAGTCAGCTCGTTGTAAACATCCAAAGGAAATGCTATTTAAATTAAGCCCATCATTGGGACATTTGATCTATGTATCCAGCATCACACCAGCATTGAAATTCATGTACCATATTGCTTATTTGTGTAATAGACGGTATGTCTTTTGGTGTGATGGCAGTGTTATTTACAGTGAAAAGCATTCATGTTGCTCCTGCATAGTAGCAGCATGAAACAGCAAGTTTCACTTTTTACTCAGACCTATAAGAGATTCTTCCCTTCTATAGTAATCTGAGGTAAACTGATTTATTTCCAGGACCAAAAGTGACAGCTTTAGGCCTGTTCACGGGTTTATGCAATACATTTTGGGAAATAATCTGATCATGGTAGATGTTTTTCTGAAGTTGGTCAATATTTGGTAATTAATCGTGATGTGCGACAAATTATACTGATGAACAATTTAGCATTGTCAGTCAGCCTCACAGTATGGTACACTTTTCCATTCTGGAAGCTAAATATATTAATCCATAGAGACCTATTCTTTGCAGTTGGAAACAACATGTACACTACTGTGCCTGTTTCAACTCCACAAATAAAATGACAGGCATTCACTCGCTCATTTCTTAGTGCAAAGTCTTGACTAATCAGAATTCACCTGCCTGGGTTAAAATTTCCTGCCTAGTTTAAAATTTGAAACTTGGCTGTTACATGTCAGTCATCATTTAACTGGTGAAGACTTCATTGTAGCACCTCTATCAATTAGGGATGCCACTTGCTAATCAGTCAACAATCTGTATTTGTGCAGAATAAATGTACAACATAAATTTACTTTGTATTCTTGGGAATTGCCCGGATAAGTGCAAGGCAAAGGTTCGACAAATGTCTTTTCTTCACTAATACTCACATTCTGTATTACAAACCAATTGCTTGTATCTCATTGTTATTGAATAAAGCTACAGTATCATGTGAAGTTGTGACTTAAAATAATTCTTTAAAAATACTTTTCCTTGCATTTGTATTTAATGTTGCTGAATTGATAATTTTCCTCTGCCTGTCTTAATTTTGATAGCAAACCGTTTGTGGCTTTGACCTGTTACGAGCTAATGGCCAATCCTATGTCTGTGATGTTAATGGATTTAGCTTTGTTAAGAATTCCATGAAGTATTATGATGATTGTGCAAAGATTTTGGGGTAAGATTTTTGTTTTTGTTTTTGGCACAAGATTGAATATTAAACAACTTTAGGAATGACTTCTTGTTTTTACTGACAAACCTTAGCATAATTATCTTGATCTTTGAAAAGTCTGGGTATGTTTTTAATATTGCGGGAGATGGTGTTATTGTGGTAATGCCACTGAACTAATAATTAGGAGGCCTGGTTAATCCTTTTTTGTGGGGGAGGAGGGGTTCAAATCTCACCAAGACAGCTGGTAGATTGCAATTCGGTTAGGAAAAAATCTGGAATGGAAATGGTGGCTTTGAAGCTCTCATCAGTTGTCATAATACCCTTAGAACAGAAAATCAGTTATTCTTACCTAGTCTGACCTATAAGTCCATGATTAATAATCCTTTAACTGCCTTCTGAAATGGCCTAGCAAACCACATGTTTTAAGAGCTTTTAGGATGGGTAACAAACACTAGTACTCATATCGAATTAAAGAGTAAAACAAAGTAATATCCTAAGTTATGAAGTGCACAGAAAAGTAAAATAATTTTGCAATAGTGTCTTGAGGGTTGTGGGCTCATTCCATTAACTGACTCATTAGCTGTACACTTATTCAGGCATGCAACATAGAAAGTAGGAACAGGAGTAGGTCATTGGGCCCTTTTGAGTCTGCTGTGCCATTCAATAAGATCTTGGTTAAGCCTCTATCTCAGTGCCATATTTTTGCTTTCTCCCATACCTCTTGATGTCTTTAAAATCTAAAAAAAATCTATCTTGAATATATTCAGTGACTTAGTTTCCACAGCTTTCTGCGATAGAGATTTCCACAGGTTCACAACCCTTTAATGAAGAAATTTTTCCTTATCTCAGTCCTAAATGGTATATCCCTTGCCCTGAGACTGTGACCCCAAGTTCAAAATTTCCCAGCCTGGGAAAAAAAATCTAGCAAATACATGCCTAGTTGAACCAATCCATCCCTAGTATCAGCCCAGTGAACATCCACTCCCTCACCTTATGGCCAGTATATTCTCCCTTATATAGGGAGACCAGAACTGTGTGCATTACTCCAGGTGTGCTCTCACCACGGCTGTGTATAACACTATCAACACTCTGAAAATTCAAATATGCTGCGTTCACTGGTTCTCCCTTATTCTTTCTACTATTTACATCCTCACAAACATGTTTGTTAAGCATGATCATTAAATCATGCTGGCTTTGTCCAATTACATGAATGTTTTCCAAGTGTTCTGTTATCATGTCTTTGATAATAGACTCTAGAATTTTACCTACTACTTAGGCCCACTGATCTATAATTCTGTTATTTCCTCTCCCTCTTTTTTAAATAGTGGGATTACTTGGTGTTCCATATTGTTTTAAATGACTGGAGAGCTGACTCATTAGTCCAACCAGATGGAGGAAGTGATTTTATTGTATATTTACTTACAGCATGAGAAAATTTGTTTTCAAATAGGCAAATGAAATGCTTTATTTGTTTAAAAAAAAACTGTGCCAGAAGCTAGGCCCACTACCAAAATTGGCTATGCACCCAGGTCAAATTCATCACTAATTTCTGCAAATTTGGTACATAAAAATTTAGGTTACTAAGAAACTAAACAATTAAACCAGCATGTGGTTCTCTGTACATTTTAAAGTTATTTTTAGTTGTTTAAAATTGGATTACTCAAAAAAAATCTCATAGGCGGTGGTCCCTAGTATCTTGTTAAGAATAATTGTTTTGTTTTAATTTTTATTTTATTTTCAGACATATTAAATGTGCAGCATTAGCTTACCACTGTTGAATATATAAATGATATTTAAAGTATAATGTAAAAGATTGTTTTATGAAACATTGTCCAAATCTTAATAATCTTCTGTGTGCAAAATTTTACCTCCTGTTCATTTGCTTGTTATTTTCTCCCTACTTCCTCTATTCAAAGCCCTCATAATTTTTAATATCTCTATTGGATATTCCCTTGCTCTAAGCTTTTCCAAACTCTCCACTTAACTGAATTCTGTCTACTTGGTACCCTCCTGTCCCGGACATTGTTGTCCTTTCATTACGCTTTCACATCCAGAATTGTATTTTCTTAAATTTTATCGACTTGCCCTCCTGCCTTCAAATATGTGAATATATGCCCCTACATCTTTTCTGTTCCCTCCATATAACACCATTTATTTAGTTCATATTGTTGCTCAATGTTATTTCTTCCAAAGTGTATTAATTCACAATATCCATTTAAAATTATGTCTCTCATGTTTTTACCCATTTTACTAGTTTTTCAATTTTTTTCTCCTACTAATGTGCTTGATACTAACTGTTCTGCCACAAGTTGTTGTTTGTAAATTCCAAAATTGTACTCCCTGTACCCAAATCCAGATCATTTATACAAAACAAGAAAAGCAATGTTCTTAATACTGACATCTGGTGGACCCCACTCCATACTTCAATAAATTTGGAAAAAACATCTATTTCCCCATTTCTCTTTGTCTCCTAACTCTTAGCCAATTTCATGACCATGTTTTGAAAATTCTTTTAATACTGTATATTTCTATTTTCTGCACAAGTCCATGCAAATACTTTTGAGCAGAAACTGAAACCAAAACTTTGCTTCAGAAGATGAGTAGAAGTTGTATCTAAATGCTGAAGAGCCAAATCTCTCTGTGCATTACAAAAGTACCAGGCTGTTTTTAACTGCAGTGATAAAATGAAAAAAATCCTTTTCATAACCATGTTGCAAATATCCAAAAATTTTCACTAAGACTTTAGCTGCAGATGCGAATGAAAATTTGAACAGATATTTTGCAGTTTACACATTCATTTTCAGTACACAGGCCAAACAATGTTGAGTGGAATTGAAATTAAAATTATTTCACTGCTGATTTGCTGTTTCATTCTTGAAAATGATTGTTTATTTTACAGAAACATCATAATGCGGGAGTTAGCTCCACAGTTTCAGATTCCGTGGTCTGTTCCAGCTGAGGTGGAGAATATTCCTATCGTACCCACTACATCTGGCACAATGTGAGGATGTAATCGACTTAATATTATATATGGGAAGAGTATAGGAACGAGAGTAGGAGTAATCTACCATTCAATGAGAGCATGGCTGATCTCTGGCCTAACTCTGTATATCTGCCTCTGGCCATACCCCTTAATATCTTTGCTTAATAGAAAATTACCAATCTCAGTTTTAAAATTAACTACTGATCAGCATTCAATGTTTGTGGAAGATCTACTACCCTTTATGTGCAGAAGTACTTCCTGACATCTCTCCTGAATCTCCAGCCAATGGAAATAGTTTATCTTTATCTACGTTGACTTTACCTGTTAATAACTTGAAGGCTTTGATCAGATCACCCCTTAACCTTCTGAATTCTAGAGAAAATAGACTTAACTTGTATAATCTCTCCTTATAACTTAACTTCTGAAGTACAGGTATCGTTATTGTAATCCCCTGTGGACTCTCTTCAAGGCCAATATATCCTTCCTAAGGTGTGCTGACCAATCTTCTCTCAGTACTCCCAATGGGGTCTAACCAGGGTTTTGTATAACTGCAGCATAACGTCTGCATCCTTATACTCCAGTTTTCTAGATATAAAGGCCAGCATTTTTCATGACATTTTAAAGATCTGTGCCCCTAAACCCCAAACCTTTTTGGACATCCACTGTAGTTAACTTCATACCATCTAGAAAGTATCCTGATTTATCCTTTGCCAGTCTAGAATGGATAACCTCACATTTTCTTACATTGAACAACATCTACCACAGTTTTGCCTATTCACTTAGTCTGTCAATATCCCTTTGTAATTTTATGCAGTCATCTACACTGTATATAACACCACCTAACTTTGTGTCACCAGCAAATTTGGATATATGACATTTTATGCCATTATCCAAGCTGTTAATAAATATAGTGAATAATTGAGCCCAAACACAGATCCGTGTGTGACACCACGCATCATATCTGACTAACTGAGTAACTGCTCACCATCTGTACTTTCTATTGCTTGCCATTCAACCAGTTTCCCAGCCATGTCAGTAATTTGACCTCAGTTCTGTGGGCTTCTACCTTAGTTATGTGGAATTTTATCAAACGCCTTCTGGAAGTCCATACAAAAAATATCCATAGATGATCTCAGTGCATTACCTTAGTCACCTCTTCAGAAAATTCAGTGAGGTTTATCAGGCATGACCTCCTTGTCATAATCCATGCTGACTCTCCCTGATTAACTGAAAAATTTCAAGATGTTAAGTTACCCCCATTCTTGATTATAGCCTACCACAACTTGCTCACCGCAGATGTTAGACTAACTGGTTTGTAGTTCCCTGTTTTACTTTTCACCCTTCTTAAAAAGCAGAATGATGTGCAGTTTCCCATTCGGTATCTGTTCTTATTGTATTTTATCCTTACTGTAACTCAAAATGATACCGGATTGTGGCGAAAAAACACTTCTCCCTGTATCTTCAAGATATAGTGACAATAAATAAATCCATTCATTCATTGATTTATTGCCAATGTCTTATTCACGTTAATTTTATATAGTCACTGTTCCTGATCCACTATTTGTTTTCATGGGATTGCCAGCAAGCTATCCTGCAAATACTGAGGCAAAGTAATTATTCATCATATCTGCCATTTCCCTATAATCATTGACAATAGCCCCCTTTTCAGTCTTTAGTGGGTTAACATTGTTCCTGACCATCTGACTTCCCATTATGTAACTATAAAATTTCTTACTGATTTTGATGTTCCTGGCAAGCTCCTTTCATAATCCTAATTACTTTATAAGATGCTTTGTGGCTGCTTTGTAACTAGCAAATCTGGATTAGACAATTTATTTGTTGACTAGGGAAATTATCTCCGAAATTTAAGCTGTCTAAGAAAAAGAGAGTGATCAGTGAATTGTACATTGTGCACTCCTACTCGGGTAATGTGTCCAAGACTTGACATGATTTCTCTGGATTCAGCTAATCTGTTTCATGTCTTGCTGTACAGGATGGAGCTTCGTTGTGTAATAGCGGTCATTAGGCATGGGGATCGAACTCCAAAGCAAAAAATGAAAATGGAAGTCAGGCATCAGAGGTAAGGTGTAATTTAATTTTTGTGCTTAACTGGAAACAATGCTGAATCTTTAATTATATCAGTCACCTTTGTATAGATTTTATATGCTTTCCTGTGTTATTTTCGTGTCCAAACTGTTACCCTGCAAAAATCACTGCTATGAAACGCTGAAGTCAATGCAAACATGTACACAAAACCCTTCTCTAGCTTTTCTAGACTATTGAGCCTTCACAATGTATATTTATAGATTATGACTCTTATTTCATCATTCTATTTGACCATATGTTACATCAGAAGTCCTATTAACTTGAAATAGTTGGAATTGAGGGAAAACTCCCTGCAAGCTGATTGTGCACGAAGCTGCCCTGACATTCTGCACACTGCGATTGGCTTACTGAGGTGAATTGCAGCTTTGACTTCTGATTCTTGGAATGGATCTTGGAAGTCTGCACTTAAGAAAAACATTATAGACAATACTGCCTGCCACAAAGAAAGATGGTTGTGATTGTGGTTCTTAGACGTCGGACCTCTCAACTCGAAGAGTTCCCTAGGGTAATGTCCTCAGCCCAACCACCTTCCGCTACTTCGTCAATTACCTCCCTGCTATCAGAAAGTCAGAGTGGGGATTTTCACTGATGACCGTAGATCGTGAAGCAGTCCACGTCCAAATGCAGCAAGACCTGGAGAGTATGCAGCTCTGGGCTGACGAGTGGCAGGTAATATTGATGTCTCAATTATTAGACAGTGATCATCTCCAACAATTGAGAATCTAACCATCATATTCAATGGCATTGTCATCATGGAATCTCCCACTATTAGCATCCTATGGCTAAACATGGACCAGAAACTGAACTGGATCAGCCAGGTCAATACTGTGGCTATAAGAGCATGTCTGAAGCTAGGAATCCTGCGGTGAGTAACTCGTCTCTTGAGTCCCCAAAACCTGTCCACCGTAGACAAGAGACAAGTGAGAAGTGCAAGGCAATATTTCCCACTGACCTGGACGAGTGTACGTGTACAGTTGTTTTGCAACCGTAAACGTGCAGTCAGGTGAGGGTAGGTAAGTAGTTTTCAACTGTGTACATGAGAAAAGACAGAATGGGAGGCATATCATTTGGGAACATTCTCCACACCTTAAAATGTCACCTGCCACCACACATCCTTTTGTACTGCCTGCCCTTTAAGATTTGGTACCCTTATCCACCTCTTTCCAATTCCTGGACTCTTGGATCCTTTCCTTTTCCAACAGTCTGGGCCTTGCCCTCATAGGATTGTCATGGTCCTCTGTGAACTTCTTCATGTACTTGGCTAATCAGACTTGTTGGCAATTTCTGAGGACAGGGCGTCCTGCCAAAAGAGTGGCAACATGACTGACTAGGTGTGCTGCCATTTTAAAATCTGTATTTATTTAATTTAAAACTTAGCAACAAAGTTAATGACAAAAAATGCCAAAACAGATGATGTAACCTTGGGATCTCCTCTAGTAGCAGTGCTTACTCATTTCTTTGTTGGTTTCCATTAAAAAAAAATGTTTGATTTGGTAAACCTTAACATTCTACCCCATGCACATACCTAGTACGAGACAGTACATTTGTGATCATGGAATCCATCTTTAAGGATTTCCTTACCTTTTAAATAGGCTTCTTTCTACGATTAGATTCAGTATTGAGATGGAGCAGGCTAACTTGTTCCCTTCTCATTGTGTTAGTTGTGAAATCTGCTACCAGGTTTCAGTTCCAAGAAGAACCAAGAGGCCGAAGCGTTAAAGAGCAGGAGCTTTATTAAGAAAGCGTTCACTCAGCAGGCAACAAGGTTAGACTAAGCTGTTTCCTGTCCAAATGGCTGCTGATGTTGTCATTATATCATATGATCACAGACTATTAAAGTGAAAGCTTACCGTACTTTCACAAATACACAACAGGGTTTTGCACTGCTGTCTACCACAAGCCTAATCTCAGTAGTCAATATTCTCTTCATACCATGCACTAAGATTCATCTTAGAAAAATCTTGTCAGTAGGTCCTACCCAATTGCTTACCTTGCAAGCTTGAGACAGGAATAGAGTATAACAAAGGTCATTGCAGGACACTAGCTAGCCTGATTGCATACTTTGTTCTGCAATTAGGCAGCACGTTCTGAACAATCCTAGATGCGTTCACGTCTACACTAACCAGCAGTTTATCATGATCAGTTGAGCTTGCAATGTGGTTCCTTTACACTTGGTAGGAACAACGTAGGAATATGCTCAAGTCTTAATATAAATTACTTCAGTGCTTGGAGACCCCATTGTTCCCTATTGTGATCTCCGTGCCAATACCTCGTCCAATCAAAGTTGGCATGCCAGTCAATGATCACTCTTTTCTGTGATACAAAAATTGTTGTAATCATTTGAAGTTTAGCATTCTTGAAAAAAAAACGAAGAAAGACATTCCTGTGGTGGTCAGCAAGACATCAGTGTGGTGTGTTGCCTCCCTGGTGCCAGGGACAAGGATGTCTCCGAAATGGTGCAGAATATTCTGAAAGGGGAGAGTGACCAGCAGGAGGTTGTTATACTCGTTGGTACCAAGAACATGGTGGTGGGAACCAAAGTGAGAGTGCATAAGAGGTGCAAGTCAAATGGTCAAGGCAGACAAGAGCTTGGCAGAGAACGAGATAAGACTGATCAATTAAACTGCACTTGCCTCAATGCAAGAGGCCTGACAGGTAAGGCAGATGAACTTAGGGCATGGCTGAGAACCTGGGATTGGGATATCGTAGCCATTGCAGAAATGTGGCTCAGGGATGGACAGGACTGTCAGCTTAATGTTCTGGGGCATGTATGCAATAGAATAGGATAGAAAAGGAGGCAAGAGAGGAGGGGGGATTTTTTTTTTGGTTAGGGATAGCATTATGGCTGTATTTTAGGGAGGATAATTCTGAGAGATCATGCAGTGAAGTTTATTTGGGTGGAAGAATAGTAATGTTGTAATGGTAGGGGATTTTAAACATAAACTTGACCTGTCATAGTGTTAAGGGCTTGGATAGGGAGGAATTTGTTAAGTGTGTACTAGAAAGCTTTCTTATTCAATATGTGGATGTACCACTGGAGAAGGAGCAATACCTGACCTTCTGTTGGGAAATAAGGCAGGGCAAGTGTCACTGTGGGAGGACTTTGGGGCCAGTGGTCATAATTCTATTAGTTTTTAAATTGTTGTGCAAAAGAATTGAACCGATCAAAAGTTAAAGTTCTAAATTGGACTAAGGCCAATTTTGACGGTAATCAAAAGTTGTTTGGGGGATGCTATTTGCAGGTAAAAGGACAGTTGGGAAGTGGGAGGAATTTATAAATGAGGTAACGATAGTTCAGAGACAGCATGTTCCTGTTTGTGTGAAAGGCAAGGTTGGTAGGTGTAGGGAATGCTGGAGGACTAGAAAAATTGTGGCTGTGGTCAAGAAAAAGAAGGAGGCATATGTCAGGTACAGACAGCTGGGATTGAGTGAATTCCTAGAGGAAAATAGGGAAGTAGGAGTACACTTAAGAGGGAAATCAGGAGGGCCAAAAAGGGAACAAAAACAGAAATTCCTGGAAAAGCTCAGCAGGTCTGGCAGTATCTATGGGGAGAAGTCAGAGTTAATGCTTTTAGTCCAGTGACCCTTGCTCAGAAATGTGAACCCAAAACTTTAACTCTGAGCAAGGGTCACTGGACCCGAAATGTTAACTCTGAATTCTCTCCACAGATGTTGCCAGACTTGCTGAGCTTTTCTAGAAATTTCTCTTTTTGTTTCTGATTTCCATCATCTGCAGTTTTTTCGGTTTTGATTGGGCAAAAAGGGGATATGAGATAGCTTTAGCAGATAGAGTTGAGGATAATTCAAAGGGATTCTATAAGTACATTAACAGCAAAAGAGTAATTAGGCAGAGATTAGGGCCCCTTAAAGATCAACATAGCCATCTGTGTGTGGAACCTCATAAGATGAGTGAGATGTTAAACAAATATTTTGCGTGAGTATTTACTTGCGTGAGAAGGACATTGAAGCTAGGGGACTTAGGAAAATAAATAGTGATGTCATGAAAAGAGTTCATATTACAGAAGAGGAGGTGCTGGATGTCTTAAAATGTATAAGGTAGATAATTGCCTGAACTTGATCAGGTGTTTCCCATACCTTTTGTGGGAATCTAGGGAAGAGATTGCTGGGTCCCTTGCTGAGTTATTGGTATCATGGACAATAACGGATGAGGTGCTGGAGGTTGGCTAATGTGCCATTATTTAAGAAAGGCTGTAAGGAAAAGCCAGGGAGCTATAGACTGGTGAGCCTGATGTCAGTGGTGGGTAACTTGGTGGAGGGGATTCTGTGAACAGAATTCCGTTTTATTTGGAAAGGCAAGGACTGATTAGGGATAGCCAACATGACTTTGTGCATGGCAAGCCATGTCTCACTAATTTGATTGAGATTTATGAAGAGGTGACAAAGAAGATAGATGAAGGCAGAGCAGTAAATGTTGACTCAATGAACTTCAGCAAAGTGTTCAACAAGGTTCTGCGTGTTTCCTGGTTAGTAAGGTTAGATTACATGAAATCTGGGACAGCTAGCCAATTAGATACAAAATTGGCTTGAAGGTAGGAGACAGAGGGTGGTGGTCGAGGGTTACTTTACAGACTGGAGGTCACTGACCAGCAGTGTGCCACAAAGATTGGTGTTGGGTCGACTGCTTTTCATTATTTATATAAATGAATTGGATGTGAATACGGATAGTAAGTTTGCAGATGACGCAAAAGTAGGTGGTGTAGTGGACAATGAAGAAGATTATCTCAGAATGCAATGGAACCATCATTAGATGGGTCAATGGGCCGAGGAGTAGAAGATGAAGATTAATTTAGAGAAATGTGATGTGTTGCATTTTGGTAAGACAGCTTAGGGCAGGACTTATGCAGTTAATGGTAGACTGCAGGGAAGTGTTGTCGAACAGAGAGACATAGGGTTCAGGTGCATAGTTCCTTGAAAGTGGAGTCACGGGTCGACAGGTGGTTTGTTATGCTTGCCTTCATTGGTCAGAACATTGAGTATAGGGGTCATGATGTAGCTGCACAGGACATTGGTGAGGCCACTTTTAGAATACTGCATACAATTCTGGTTGCTCTTCTATAGGAAGGATGTTGTTAAACTTGAGAGGGTGCAGAAAAGATTTACAAGGGTGTATCCAAGACTGGAGGAAATGATTTCATTTGATTTATTGTTGTTATATGTACCGAGATACAATGAAAAGTGTTGTTTTACGTGTTCTGTGTGCAGATCATACCATACAAAGTGCATTAGGTAGCAAAACAGCATGCCAGATACAGTGTTACAGCTGCAGAAAGGTGCAGAGAGAGAGAGAGAGATGAACGTTAACATTTGAGAGGTCTGTTCAAAAGTGTGATAATTCTTAAATCTATTTGTACATGTATTCAAGCTTTTGTATCTTCTGCGCGGTGGAAGAGAGTATAACTAGGGTGAGAAAGGTCTTTGATTATGTTGGTTGCCTTTATTGAGGCTGCAGGAAGTATAGATGGAGTCACTGTATAGAAGGCTGGTTCGCATGATGGACTGGGCTGTGTTCACGACTGTCTAGTTTCTTGCAGTCTTAGTAAGTTATAGGGAGAGTCTGAATAGGTTCGGGCTTTTTTCCCTGGAGCATTGGAGGCTAAGGAGTGACCTTATAGAGGTTTATAAAATCATGAGGGGCGTGGATAGGGTGAATAGTCTCAATGTCTTTTCCCCAGCATATGGGAATCCAAAACTAGAGGGCGTTGGTTTAAGACCAGAGGGGAAAGATTTTAAAAGGGACTTGAGGGGCAACTTTTTCACGCAGAGGTCGGTGTGTGTATGGAATAATCTACCAGAGGAATTGGTGGAGGCAGTTACAATTACAACATTTAAAAGGCATCTGGATGCGTATATGAATAGGATGGATTTAGAGAGATACTAGCAAATGGAACTAGGTCAGATTGGGATGTCAGGTCAGTGCGGATGAGTTGGACCAAAGGGTCTGCTTCCGTACTGTGCGGCTCTGACTCTGACCCTGTAACTACAAATGCTGGAAATCAGAAACAAAAATGGAAATAGCTGGAAAAACGCAACAGGTCCAACAGCATCTGTGGAAAGAAAGCAGAGTTAACATTTCAGGTCCAGTGACCCTTCCTCGGGTGCTGCTAGACCTGCTGAGTTTTTCCAGCTATTTCTATTTTTTTGTTTTGACATTCTTACCATTCTCCTGATGCATGCAAGGCAAAAGGCTTTGGCTCCATGCCTCTTTTGAGCAATATTCAAGTTCTGTATTTGCAAACAACTCAGAAAACTTTGTAATCCACTAAAGATATATCAATTGATACTTATTAAAGGTTTATGTTAGCAAATTTCATTTTGTTGGTTTTTTTCCACAAAAAATGTGTTACTGTGTGCCATTTTTGACAGGCAACTGAGTTCAGGTTGACACTTGTTTAATAATGAACATGAAGAGAAAACTTGATTGAAAGCACTTTGGTACATTTATAATGGATGGTGATGGCTGAAAGAGCTGCTTGTGTCATTGGGGAAAAAGCACAGAACGTCTGATACTTAATTTGTCCATTGTGTGTGACTAATTGAATTGTCTCACAATTAAGACACTACTAACATTCCAAGTTGTGGTCCAATGAGCTAGTTTGGTGTTAGAGACTTCATCTTTAGGCTCCTCTGCTTTTGCACTCCATTTGAATGTTCATTAGGTGATGGGTAGTAGGTGATTTCTTCCTCCAGTTCTAATCCCCGTGTCACCCAATCTTATGTGGAACACAGTACATACACCATAATTATCATGGGAACCTAGGAACAGGAGCAGTTCATTTTTCCCCTTGAGTCTGCTTCAGCATTCTAGATTATGGCTGATGGATCACCATAGAGATCCTTGCTGGTGATTACTGAACAATGTCTCTAGACTTATCTTATGTAGTGTTTATCTAATGTGGCATAATTTATAACAGACTCCTGTCTGAATTAGAGGATGGTGCCCAACTACAGTAGTATGAGCATAAAATACAGGCTTGCACTTTTCTTGCACAGCAGGAAGTGTGCTGCACTGTTGAAATGTAATTTTCAATGTGATGTTAAATGAGGCTACATTGCCCTTTTGGGTGGAAGTGAATGATTCCATGACACTATGCAAATAAAAGTATGGATGTTCTCCTTGGCATCCAAGCCAATGCGTCTCTTTTAACAAATGTCACTAAGACAGATTTATCTGATCACTTTACAGTGGGTCTGTGGGACTTTGTACAAATTTCAACACCGCAGTGGTAACACTTAAAAAGTATAGTGCTTTGCCACTTTACGTCATTGGCTGTAAAGCACTTTGAGGAATCCTGAGGCTATGCCCTTGGTGATCAAAGAAGCTGTATGCACCTGTTTGATCAGTAGTGGCTTCTATGAACTTGTCTACTCTATTACTAAAATGAAAACAAAGTGCTGCAGAAACTGAGCAGACCTAGGGTAGACATATTAGCATGAGAAAAATGCCTACTGTAACACTCCAGCAAAGCCCAGTGAAAACTGGAGGAACAGCACCTCATTTTCTGCCTGGGCACTTTACAGCTTTCAGGACTCAGCATTGTGTTCAATAAATTTGGAGCATAAATGCTGTCTTCCATTTTTATTACAACCCCGTCCCCATCCCATGTCTTGGGTTTGCTCTCAGCAAAGCTGATCTGTTTTCTGTTATTCATACCAACTGTTAACACCTGTTTCTCACACATACAATCTTTAGAATTCCCTTTTGCCTTTTTCCTTGAGCATGCTTATCTTCTGTTCCACTTGCTCCTCTTTCCCTTTTGTCAAGGGTATATAGACCATCATTTTCCAGGTCCTTCAGTTCCAAAGAAAAGACATACAGATTCAAAATGTTAAATTTATTTCCCTCTCCACAAATGTTACAAGACCTGCTGAGTTTCTACAGGACTTTTGTTTTAACTTTAGGTCTCCAATGTCTTCAGTACTTTGTTTTTATTACTTCATGCTCTGTGACCCACTTCAAGTCACCTCCACAACAGATGCTTACTGCTTTGGCTGTTCATTGGAACTCGGGTGATAAAGGCATCTGAAGCAACTATAATGCCACCAGCTGTGATGTACTTGATGTTCACATCTCCAAACTATATTAGTGTGTCGAGTGACAAGTAATCTAACCAAAACATCCCCAGCAGCAATCAGAAAACAGCTGTGAGCATTTAATTTTGTCAGGTTTCCTGACTTTCAAACAGCTTCCCTCCATTTTACCGGGAAGCATTTATTTCGAATTACTGCCAAAATAATGAGCAAGAAACCCCATTTAAGTATCACAGACCTGCCTGTCTAGATCATGTTATCCTGGTGCCTTGATATCTGTCACAGTTAAAACAGAAACAGAATATTCCTAATGAGAGTTTGGAAAAGACATATTTAATATTCTTTTGATATTTTTCCTTTTCATCTTCCCCCACCCCTACTTTCTGCTTTTTATTAAAATATAGGTTTTTTGAATTGTTTGAAAAATACAGTGGATATAAAGCAGGAAAAATAAAGTTAAAGAAGCCAAAACAACTACAGGCAAGTCTTTACTTCCTAATTTTCGAGTATAATTCGAAGTATAGCACTCTTAGTGTACCATTATTGGGGATTACAGAAAAGAAAGCAGAACTGTATTGATAACATTAAGCAATGTGGATATGGGCTCCATACCCTCACAACCGTCTTATTGTCTGACCTGATACACTAATGAGAGTGTGGACAAGACATGCTGTGTAATAGATTGATTTTTACTTTCTACAGCTAGGATTCAATGTGTTACACTTAAATGTAAGCAAACATTTGATGCTTGGACAATATTCTGATGCACTTTCTGTTTTGCTTTTTAAATTTAAATGTTTTACCTCATTTCTGATTTGTCCAATCTTGTACTTTTTCTAAAATAAACTAAAATAGCTCCGTCATCCAGGTTTCTTCAGCAATTTTTAAAATTTATTATAACAATTTATTTGGTGAAAATGCAAAACTGGTGAACAGACTAAGTTTTTAATGTGAAAACATAAATTCTCAGATGCAGAGAGGTCCGTGTTCTATACATGAATCATAGAAGGTTAGTATACAGGTACAGCAAGTAATCAGGAAACCATTAGAATGTTATGCTTTATCACTTCCCTTTCTGGTCTGAATGGACGATCCTATCTTGCTGTTGCAACTTTGTTGTGTTCTATGCAAGTTCCTACTGATGGATAGAGCATATTTCTAAATCCTTCCATGAGAATTATTTCCCTTCGAGCCTGATCAAGGTGTGTGTGGTATATATATCTCCAAGTTTAATGCTCACATCCAACAGCGCAAGTTATTTTGCATTACCCTCTCAAATTCTGTAATAGTCCGCCCAGGCTGCTTGTAGATATTCTGCAATGTCTGCCCATAAACATCAGGGAACAACTTGTACCCATCAAGAAAAGTGTTTTTCACTAACCCATAATCTGTAATATCCTGCTGATGACATAAACATCTTCAATTCTTCCAATCAACTGGCTTTACATAGACATTGTATAGCTTTCTTATGGCCACCCTGTCTGCTTAGTTATCTTTTCAAGAGAAATGAAAAATGCCTCAAAGTTCCGTTCATCTAATTGTGGGACGCTTTGCATTAATTTGAAGAACTTTCTGGTAGGTCTGGGGTTGGATTCGGATACTCCCTCCTCAGAATTCTATCGAGGGTTGGAGGTGACTATTTCAGTTCTAGTGTTTCTAGCTTAAGAACAAAAACAGACGTTGCTGAAAAAGCTCAGCAAGTCTGGCAGCATCTGTGAAGAAAAATCATAGATAACGTTTCTCGTGCGTTCTCTGACTCGCGTGCTCTCCCTCTCTTCGCATTCCTCCAGGATCTCCTCCTGTCTGTCCTTCTCCCTCGTGTCTCTGTCCCTTTTCTCTCTCGTCTCTCTATCACTCTCTCCCTCTCTCTCGTGTCTCTGTCCCACCCTCTTTTTCTCTTGTGTCTCTGTCCCACCCTCTTTCTCTCTCTCTCCCTCTCTTGTCCCTCTCTCTCTCCCTCTCTTGTCCCTCTCTCTCTCTCTCTCGTCTCTCTCTCTCTCTGTTGTCCCTCTCTCTCTCGTGCCCCTGTCCCTCTCTCTCTGTCTCTCGTCCCCCCTTCTCTCTCTCTCGTCCCTCTCTCTTGTCCCTCTCTCTGTCTCTCTCTCTCATCTCGTCTCGTCTCGTCTCGTCTCTCTCTCTTGTCCCTCTCTGTCGCTCTCTCTCTCTCTCGTCTCGTCTCGTCTCGTCTCTCTCTCACTCGCCCCCCTCTCTCTCTCTCAAGTATTCTAGTCACTTTACCTGTCAGTGAATTATCACTAATTCAACTGAATTGAGATCTAGTTTGCTTTGCACTTCTTCCAATATAAACTGTGTTGTTATCTTAATTACATCTGTTTTAATTCTACCTTCAATTTCTCTTCAGGGGTTGGGGATGGAAGGGTGTGGGCACTATGATATACAATATGTATTAACCCTAGGTTATCAAGAGACATAAAGGAGGAGATTTCTGGGGCCTTGACAAGATCTTTGTATCCTCACTAGCAACTGGAGGACAACAGAATAGCTGCTTTTGTTCCTCTATTCAAGAATGGAAATATGGATAATCCAGAAAACTACAGACCAGCAAATTTGTCATCGGTGGTTGTGATGCTATTGGAGAGAATTCTTAAGGATAGGATTTACACATATTTGGAATATCATGGGCTAATAAGGGACAGTCAGTATGGCTTTGTGCAGGGCAGGTCATCTCTTACTAACTCGATTTAATTTTTTGAGGAGATGACAAAGGTAATTGATGAGGGTAGAGCGGTCGATGTTGTTTACGTGGATTTTAGTAAGGCTTTCGTAAAAGTCCCTCATGGTAGGCTCATCCAGAAGATTAAGATGCATGGGCTTGCCCAAAGAAGACAAGTGGATATTGGTGGCAATGTGTTTTTCAGGCTGGAGGTCTGTGACTAGTGCCGTTCTGCAGGGATCCGTACTGTGCTATATATACATAAATGACTTGGATGAATATGTAGATAGGTGGGTTACTAAGTTTGCAGATGATACAAAGGTCAGTGGAGTTGTGGATAGTATAGAAGGTTGTGTGGGATATAGATAGTTGCAGACATGGACAGAGAAATGGCAGATGGAATTTAATCTAGGTAAGTGTGAGGTGCTGCACTTCGGGAGATCAATTGTGAAGGATAAGTATACAGTTAATGGCATGACTCTGAACAGCATCGATGTGCAGAAGGATCTTGGAGTTCAAGTCCATAGCACCCTGAAAGTAGCCATGCAAGTAGATAGGGTGGTAAAGAAGGCGAAAAGCATGCTTACCTTTATTGGTCAGGCTATTGAGTACAAGAGTGAGGATGTCATTTTGCAGCTTTATAAGAATTTGGTTCGGCCACATTTAGAGTATTGCATTCATTTCTGGTTGCCACATTACAGGAAGGATGTGGAGACCTTGGAGAGGGTGCAGAAGGCTTTACCAGGATGTTGCCTAGATTAGGGGGTATAAGCTATATGAAAAGGCTAGAAAAACTCAGGTTGTTTTCTCTTGAGAACCATTTGTAGATTTTGGGGTGGTTGCTATGGGAGTTGAGGATTTGATCAGTATAGGTTGCTTTTCTGTATACTGAGGTTTGGAACTCCCTGTTGGTCGTACACTCAACTTTAACTTCCACACTGATCAAATCCTCAACTTCCACAGCAACCACCCCAACGTCCACAAACAAAGCTGCATTAGGACACCATTTAAATGGGCCAGAACACACTGCAACACTCCGGAACTATGTAGGAAAGAGGAAGAGCACCTATACAAAATCCTCGCTAGAAACAGATATCCCTGCAACTTCATCCGCAGATGCCTACTAAACAGACAACAGCAGGAGGACACAGTACGCTCTAACACACTGGCCACACTGCCCTACATCAAGAACATATCAGAACTGACAACAAGGTGTAGAACCGGATGAACGCAGCAGGCCAGGCAGCATCAGAGGAGCAGGAAAGCTGATGTTTTGGGTCTGGACCCTTCTTCAGACCTTCGGTGTTCATCCAGCTCTACACTTGTTATCTCAGATTCTCCAGCATCGGCAGTTCCTACTATCTCAGAACTGACAGCAAGACTCCTAAGATCACTAGGAATCATGGTAGCCCACAAGACCACAGCCACTCTACGACAAACGCTTACAAGGATTAAAGACCCCATTCCTACAACATGCAGAACGGACGTGGTTTACAAAATATCATGCAACGACTGCAACAAACATTACATCAGGCAGACAGGAAGGAAACTAGCCAGAATACATGAACATCAACTAGCAGCAGAACGGCACGATGAACTCTTCTTAATATCGGTACACTCACACAATGAAGGCCATCAGTTTAACTGGGACAAGGTAACCATAGTAACCCAAGCCAAACATAGACACGCATGGGAATTCCTAGAGGCATGGTTTTCCATCTGTAATGCAATCAACAAACATACAGAATTGGACCCCATATACAAACCTATACAGATGAAAACCGGAAATGACACTACTCACCATAACGGACTGGACGGTATAAATTCCAAGTGGAGTAGAATAGTATCGCTTCATCGGAGGCTCCGCTGATGATGTCACCTAGCTTGGTGACGAAATGTCTGACAAAAACAAGCCAGCTTGGTGAGCAAGTCAACAACCTCACCCACAATCCGAGCTACGGATCTTTGCCAAAACTTTAAAGTTGCCTGAAATGGTGGAGAATGATCCTTTGAATGTGGAGGCTGGTGGATGAAGAGTGAGGACAAGGGGAACCTGATCATGCTGTTGTGAGTAATGTGAAAGAGCAAGGTCAGAAGCATGAGTGAGGGCCCTGTCAACCACAGTGGGCTGGAAACCATGGTCACAGAAGAAGCAAGCCATGTCAGCAGCACTGTTGTGGAAGGTTGTTCTCCCTTGTGTGAGCGTCTGGGACAGGGCATAATTCAGTCAGGGGTCACATATTTAACATCGTCGAGGAGAAATTTCTTACTCTGAGGGGATTGAATTTGCAGAATTCTTTACCACAGAAGGCTGAGGGGATTAAATTTGTGGAATCCTTTGCCAGAGAAGCCTGTTGAGACTGGGTCTTTAAGTATATTCGGGGCTGAGGTAGACAGAATTTTGATCAGTAAGAGAATCGAGAATTTTTGGAAAGAGCTAAGAAAGTGGAGTTGAAGATTATCGGGTCAACCATAATCTCGTTGAACGGCACAACAGACTGAATAGGTTAAGTGGCCTACTTTTGCACCTACATCTTATGGTTTTATGGTCCAATAGCCTAGCCTGCTTATTTTCTATAAATCACTTGAGTAATATTTTTCAGCTCCAGGAAAGTTTTAGCATCTGCCGAAAGCCATTTTGAATAAAATATTGAATGAGAAACATATAACCTTTTTCCAATTATTATTGTCCCACTTCCAATTCCACATTGTCAGCATTGGGTATCTTAAATATATATTCCTGTTCTACCTGTTCTGATTGTTCTTCCAGATGATTGGCAGAGTAAGCTGCCTCAAATATGGGTAACTCTTACACTCATTTCAGAGCAAATTTCGCATTGTAATTGTAAAATCATTTCACTCAATTTTATTTAAATCCAGCATTTGCTGATTGGACCGTGGAACTGTTTAATCATAGGCTATCACAATAATGGGAAAATCCTGCTAACATCATCGAATAGATGTAGACAAATAATATTGGACAAAATGTTTAACACAAATAGGATTATTAAAGGGAGGGATGGCAACATATATAAATGATGTTTGTTATGTCTGTACATGTGAAAGTTGCAACCTGAAGCTGGTTCTAAAATATTTTCCACTGACTTTTCAGGAAGTATTGGATATTGCAAGGCATCTTTTGGCAGAACTGGGCCAGAATAATGATTCAGAAATAGAAGAAAGTAAATCAAAACTTGAACAACTGAAAACAGTGCTTGAGATGTGAGTACCATTATCACAGATATTCCAATATAAATATAGCAGTATATTTAATTATATGAAATGTTCAAAAGAATGTGTTCCATTTAATGTAACAGACCTGGATTTTGTGCGGAGAATAAAAGGAAAACTAATAATGCTCAAAGTGGTTACACAGAAGCTTGGTATTTGCATGCCTATTTAAGCATCAAAATGTGGAAGTTGCAGTAGAAATACCTCGCTTCTGTGTAGGGTGTACCGTCACAGTCCTCACTGAGACTCAAATCTGAAATGCATGCATTTGCATAAGTCAGAGTACTTGACCATAGTTTTCTACAAAAGTCACCAAAAAGAATTTGCATTGGTGCATTCAAGAAGAATAAACATTTTTTTCAGCCCGATTCATAGTCTTTTTCCACTTGCTACACATGATTGGAATCTTGTGCTTCTTGGCTTAGATTCTGTAGCCTTAAAATTTGGTTTTGCTTTCAGTGTCACAATAGTCTAACGCCAAAATGGCTGCTGCATTGCTCTGTCTACGTGGCCCTCCATGTTTGAGAAAATGCTAGCATGTACATAACCATGCATGTGCTGCAAACATTCAGAGTTGGCAGATGACAATGCCACTTGGTATTAGAATACACTGACTCATAAACACTGGCAGGGAACCCTATTTGCACTGCTTGGTGTAAGCTTGGAACTTTCAGTAAGGTGCTTCTTGTCTTTCACTGTTGCAGTGTGCTGGACATAGAATTCCCTGAAGAATGAGTGGAAGGACTAAAAATGCTTTGAATCAGGAATGAGTTTTGCTGGACATTTATGTGGAGTTTAGAGAATTTGGAAGCCATCAGGGAGACTGTTACAGAGTCATAATCCCACTAGACTACAATAGTTCAAATCTCACAATTTAATTTGTTAAATTTGGAATATAAAGTTAATCTCAGTAATGGTAACCATGAGCACTATAATTGATTATTATAAAAACACATCTAGTTCACTCGTCCTTTAGGGAAGCATATCTACCATCCTAACCTGATCTGTTCAATGTGTGACTCCAAATCCATAACAGCATAGTTGGCTTTTAGATTTCCCACTCATGGATTAACAAGTTCATTAGGGCAATTAAGGAACAGCAATAAAAACTCGCCATGCCAGCTACACTGACCCCATGAAAGAGTAAAGAAAGGAAAAGGCCCATCAGTAGAAAGTCTGATAACATCAAAGTTTAGCCCGAACAGGAATTGAATCACAGACATCACTGAGGGGAAGCTATGTGCAGAGGTAAGAGGTGGAGTGGGAGCTCTCAATTGAAGGCTGTACAAGAGTCTTCAGAGAACACTTCTCCTGTCTCCAACCTAAGAAAGATGGGGGACTGAGGTGCCTGTGCTTCAATAAAGAGATGGTCACTGAACTCTATTGCCTTTTCCAACATGATCAATAGACGCCCACAGGACAAAGATGGCACAACCAGTAGAACTTAGTATCTACCAGGCATTCCTCTTTCAAGTTATTTTACTCTGTTTGCCATTAACAACGTGGTCCCCCGCACCATTGATTAGAATCGTTTAATTTAGAAGGGTCCATTCGACCCATTGAGCCTACATCAAACAGACTACTCTAAATCTACAGTTGTCCTACTTTCCAGCATTTGATCCATAGCCTTTTGACATTTGAAGTGTTTATCCAAGAACTTTTTAAAGATTGTGAGGAGAATTCCCACCTCCCACCTTTGAGGCAGTGCAGTCCAGATTCCTACCGCCTTCTGGGTGGAAAAAAAAACTTTCCCTAAATTCCTTCTCAACTTCTTGCCTTTCACCTTAAAATTATGCATCCATGCATTCACACCTCCATCCTAGCGTCCCTGCCGTTATAATCTATACCGTGACTGATCAAGGAAAGTGTCCCATATTTTAAGTGTATGGCAGAGGCGCAGAATGTACTCTGGATAGGGGACTCGGCAGCAAAAGTACAGATTGAGCTGAACGAGCCCTAAAGGACACAGCTGGTAGACTGTGGTAGTTTCCGAGGGAAACAATGTGAAAAAAATATTTGACCTCATCCTCACCAGTTTGTCTCCTGAGATGCATCAGTCCTTAACAGTATCAGTAGGCGTGGCCACTGCACAGTCCTTGTGGAGACAAAGTTCTGCCTGCGCATTGAGAATACTTTGCATTGAGTTGTGCAGCACTTTCAGGGTCCTAAATGAGTTAGACTTGGAACAGATCTAACAGCTCAAGACTGGGCATCCATGAAGTGCTGCGGCCATCAGCAGCAACTGACTTGTACTCCAAAACAACTGCAACTTCATGATCTAGCATATCTCCTGTTCCGTCGTTGCCGTCAAGCCAGGGGATTAACCCTGGTTCAATGAAGACTGCAGAAGGGCATTCAAGAGCAGCATAAAGCATGCCTAAAAACGAGGTGTCAACCTAGTGAAGTTATACAACAGGACTTCTTGCGTGCCAAAGAGCATAAGCAGCTGGTGATAGACAAAGCTAAGTAATTCCACAACCAGCAGATCAGGCTTAAGCTCTGCAGTCCTGCCAGATTGAGACATGAATAGTGGTGGACAATTAAGCAGTTCTGAGGAGGAGGACTGTCCACAAATACGATATCAATAATGAGGAGTCTAGTACATTACTACATAAGACAAGGCTGAAACATTTGCAGCAATCTTCATCCAGAGTGGGTCATCCATCTCGGCCTCCTCTGGAGATCTCTCCAGCATCATGGATGCTGGTCTTTAGCCAATTTGAATCACTCCACATGATATCAAGAAATGGTTGGAGGAACTGGTTATTGAAAAGGATATGGGGCCTGATGACATTCCAGTAATAGTACTGAAGACATCTGCTTCAGGGCTTGCCATACCCCAAGGCAAACTGTTCCAGCACAGCTATGACACTGGCATCTACCTTTAAGGTGTGGAAAATTGTTCAGGTATGTCTTATACACACAATGCAGGACAAATCCTACTTGGCCAATTACTGGCGCAACTCTTGATCATCAGTAACATTATGGAAAGTGTTATCAACATGCTATCAGCAGTACCCTGCTTACTGACGCCCGGTTTGTGTTCTGCCAGCTACTCAGCTCCTGACCTTATTATAGCTTTGATTCAAACACAAACAAAAGAGCTGAATTCCAGATGTGATACGAGAGAAACATTCTTGACATAGCAGTTGCCCGAGCAATCTATGTCAATATCCATGCTTGGGCAAGTAACATTTGCACCATGAAAATACTGGGCAATGATTATCTCCAATGAAAGAATCTAACCATTGTTCCTTGATATTCAATGGTGTCGCAATCACTGGATTTCACCCATTATCAATCTCCTCGTGTTTACCATTCACTAGAAACTGATCTGGATTAGCCATATAAATGTTATGGCTGCAAGAGTGGGTCAGAGGTCAGTAATACTGCAGCCAGTAAGTCATCCACCTGATTCCTCAAAGCCTGTAAGGATTGTGAAGGAATTCTCCCCACTTGCCTGGCTGAGTTCAGCTCCAACAACACTCAAAGCTTGACACCGTTCAGGCCAAAGCAGCTTGCTTGAGTGCCACCACATCCAGAAACATTTACTCTGTCTATAGTCAACACTCAGTAGCAGCAGTGTGGATCAATGATAAGATGCATTGCAGAGATTCACCAGGTTCCTTAGCAAGCAGCTTCCATCTTGAAGGACAAGTGCGACAGATACGTGGAAATACCACACCTGCAAGTTCCCGTCCAAACCACTCACGTTGGAAATATATTGTCATTACTTCAGTGTTGCTGAGTCAAAATTTCGGAATTCTGTCAATGGCAGCGCAAGTCTGCTACAGCAAATGGACTGCAGCGGTTCAAGAACGTAGCTCACCAACACCTTCTAAGAAGGTAACTGGGGAGGAGTAGTAAATGCTGGATGAGCAAGTGAGTGGACTTAAAACAAAATTTGGGATTTTAACCCAGAACCAGTAAAGGAACAGCCATGTAGTCCTCCATCAGGAAATGTGGCTCAGAGGTATACTTAGATATGGTTCTCCCATTTCTCATGATTCAAACTCTGCCTATGTTACACTCTCACTTGTCATATTTTATAAGCCACTCAGCAGTCATTCCTTCCTGGCACTCCCTAAGTTTCTAATTAAATGTTTTCTTAATTACTGAATTTTTTTTTATAAATTACTGCTCTCCTCAACACTGCTTTGTGCTACTTTAAACCTTAATGATACAATAAACCATATAACTTAAAAATAGTAGATTCACTAACATATTTCCCTTCCTCTTGAGTCTCTTAATTATGTCAGAGCTATCCATGGGTTCATTTTACATTTATTTTAATTTTCAGCTTTATATTGACACATCCTGATAGGAGTGTACCCTCTAACTTTTCTTCCCAGCAGACAGGACCCTGTGTTCTGTGTGCAGTAATAACTTGCTTAACTGTAAGTCAGTACCGTGATCTGGTTGCTGATGCCAATGCTATATGCAGAACTCTGGATTGGCAATTTGGAGGAGTCACTATTTGATTTTGTATACAAACACATTCAGTTCCCAAAGTCTCGCTGTTTAATCTGTCTCGCTGTTTAAATCTGATAATCCTCAACTTCATTATCCTGCCATTTCCCCATAGCCATTGATTCCCTTGCTGATTAAAGATCTGACTATCTTAGGTTTGAATATACTCAATAACCCAGCCTTAGCAGCCCTTTGTGGTAAAGAATTCAATGGATTCACAACCTTCTGAGAAGAAATTCCTCCTCATCCCTGTCTTAAATGACAACTTCTTTTTGAGATTCTGGCCTTAGACTTTCCCAGAATGGGAAACAATCTCACTGTATCTATCTGTGAAGTCTCCTAAGAATCTTCTATGTCGAACAGTTGCTTGAGGCACTGGGATACTCATTCAGTTACATTACCATCTCACCAACTCCTACCCAGGTTTGAAATATGACACTTGATGCTTCTTTGTCACTTGCCACCCTATTGGTTCTCCATATTTATTTCGTGCAAATAGGCTGCAAATTTTTTCTCTGATCAAGATTGCCCAAAATAATTTCATAATGAAACTTTCAGTCAGTGAATCAGCAATGTTTACCTCATCAGCCTGAACCAAATTTAAATCGACAAGTGAAACTTCAGTATTTTAGCCATCATTACGTTCAGGCCTATGACCTAGAATAGAACTGTACGTGCTATCTTCGTTAAATTGTTATGGATCATTTTAAACATAATTATTTCAACAGTATCCATTTTCTGAGCTTAAAATACTTGCTTCTGTGGTGCATTTGAAGTGTCTCAAATACAATTGGTTGATACTCTCAGAAGTACGCATTAACAAACGTCTGTTTGCAGTACCCCTCCCGATGCTGACAGAGACATGATTCTGTCACGATCGCTTTTATGTGTTGTGCTGATTTTTAAAAATACTACCTTTTTGTTAATTAACAGAACGTTTCACAAAGTGTGCCTGCACAGAACCATTCAGGGGTGTCTTTCAAAGTTGTCAGAAAACACTTAGATGAATAAAGGTGATAGTCCTAAATATTGCCCTAACCGGCAGTGAAGCCACTAATCGAGAGCTAGTCACCAGTGAAGAACTAGCAAAAAGCAAAAAAAAAGTTAACAAGAAAGCAGCTGCAAGATAAATAGTAGTTGCTTGACTTATTTTTATGGAAGTTATTCTATTTATCATGTTGATTTTGCAGATAGCATATACCTAGTAGAAACATTGCTGATTTCTGTAGAAAAAACTTAATTCTGCAGATTTGCTTATTTTGGATTTCTCACCTGCCCGCAGTTGTTTCAGTTTGAGAGTTTAAGATGTAAGAGTAGAAGAAAGATTTTCAGCTCCCCAAGCCAATTTCATCTTTTAACAAAATCATAACTGAACTGTACCTCAACCTAATTTGCTTGGCTTTGCTCTAGATCCCTTAGGACCCTTCCTGGACAAAAACCTATTGACTTGCCTCAAAACTTTCAGTTGATCCACGGACTTTGAGGAGACCATGCCAGATTTCTCTTTATGTGCAAAAAATGCATGCTGATTTTAATCATAGGGGATCTTGCTCTAATATTTAGATTATGACCTTTTATTATGGGTCCCTTTTTCAAAGTAAGAGTATTTCTTTTTAATTCTTCAGATTAGTGCCAATTTTTACTTGAATGTGTTTTTGTGAAGCACTTTAGGACATTTTCTTCCGTTAATGCTGCTGTATTTACAGATATTGTTATATAGTGTGCATATTTTAGCTGCTTCCTAAGAAATCAACTATATTTGCAATTATCTTAACAGGTATGGGCATTTTTCTGGAATAAATCGTAAAGTTCAGTTGACGTACCTACCTCTTGGATGTACAAAGACCTCAAGTGAAGAAGATGGTATGTTTTCTTATGCCTGTTTTTTTTCCTTAATTTCTTTTTGGATTTTGTAAGTTGTTAAACTGGCATTGCTCAGTTACTGAGCTTTCATTTCTTTTTATTACGACTACTACATTTGTTGGAGCAATTTACTTTAGACAGCATTTCATAATAGTTGTATAACTATAATTATCAACCTGACAAAATTCATTTTCAAAATTGAAGCCCCTACCAACTTGGTAAGCACTAATTTCAAATTGTTGGGTATGATTTTTGTTTTTGTTTCAGCCTCTGTTTCATCACTTAGATTTCCAGTTGTATAAGTACTATATAACATGGTGCTTAAATGGTGGAGGTTTAAGTGTCAGCTTTGGCTAAGGGTCAATTCCGAGTCAGAAAGTTGTGTGTTTGTTTTCCACCCGGAGTCTTGTGTGTGTAATCTGGACTATTAAATGACTGCTGCACTGTTATAAGCTATCTAAGGATCAATAACTTTACAACAAAAGTAGAAAACATTTGAAATCCCAGTTGCTTACTAAGAGAATAAAGCCACAAGATTTCGGTCTTAAACAAACAGAAGAATCTTTACTATTGAAGAGTCAAAAAAAGCAAACAGACAATACTTTATATCCTTTACTGTAGGTTCCAGAATTAAAACGTCACACATGAATTAATTGGCATGCAGTGATCGACCAAAAGCTGCATGCCAAGATACAACCAAGACATCCCATACATTTTCTCAGCAGTCCACCCAAATATCAGAATCACAAACTCCTTCAAAGCTTGTCTTTCTCTCAAGGGATATATATTGTCTTTACTCCACCTTGTCATATGGGTATTGCTAGAAATTATTAACCTTGCATAATTGTTCTTGAACTGAGGGAAGTTAAGAGTTGGCTGCATTGCTAAGAGGCTTGAGCCACGTACACTAAACCAGGTTGGATTGATAGATTTCGTAGAATCCTTGCAGTGTGGAAGTAGGCCATTTTGTCCCTCTGAACAACATCCCACCCAGACCCACCTCCACCCCCTCACCCTCTCCCTGTAAATCTGCATTTCCCATGGCCAACCCACCTAGTCTGCACATCCCTGGACACTATGGGCCATTTAGTATGGCCAATTCACCTAACCTGCACATCTTTGGACTGTGGGAGAAAGCCCACGCAGACACAAGGAGAATGTTCAAACTCCACACAGACAGTTGCCTGCGGCTAGAACGAACCCAGGTCCCTGATGCTGTGAGGCAGCATTGCTAACTACTGAGTCACTGTGCCGCCCTATTTCCTTCTCTACGATATATTTGTGAACCAGACAGGTCTTTACAATTGATGATAGTCTCAATGTCATTACTGTGACTTGCTTTCAGTTCCAGATTTAGATAAATTCCACCTGCTGCCATTCAACCTATGTTCCCAGAACTTTAGCCTGGGCTTTTGAATCACTGGTCCAGTGACATTGATCTATGACACCATTCGCAATGTATAATTTCCCCTCATTTGAGGACAAATCGGCTTCTGATTTCTCTTCAACAGCAGCACCAATTTGTCTTGAAGATCCTCTCATTGCTTATGCCTGCAATGAGTTGTCAGGCAACAAAACTCAAACTAAGGGTACCCCACTGTCTGCACACCTCCTACCTGCTAGCTGTCTCCTCCAGAGACGACACTCTGCCAGGGTTTAAGATGCTGGGGATCAGCCTTATATTACCATTGCAATCCCAGCTCTCTAGCTACACTGGGCAGAGAAATACTGCTCATGGACTCTGTGTTCCAGCTGCACACAGACAATCACTTCACCTTTCCCGAGCTAACAACACTTCTCACTGACTTTACCCGATGCCTGCTATGACCGGGCAATGTCTTTATTTTCACTGAGCTACCAACTCCTTTTTAAATAGCCTGGAGTCTTGCTGTTTCAAACAGCTCTGAAATTTTGCTGTTGCCCCTCTCAGGCTTTCTGAGCCTCAAAATCTTATCTATGCTGATCGGATCCCTACCCTTCAGCCTTGAGATCTCACAACTGTTCTGTAACTCGCAGTGCTACCCTTCAGGTATCATAGCCCAGACTAGTCTGTCGTGTGGACGTGTTCTGGTGACCATAAACCCCACTCACCTGAGTAGCAGTTTGCTCAATCTCTACAGGTCCCATGGTGGGGTTGCATTGTCATCCCTAAGCAGCAATCAAATGGGACCTAACAACTGAGCACAGGCAGCCTGGCACCCACTGTGCTCTGCATTTGGTCTGAAACCCTGGAAGTTGTAGTCTTGCACCTCAAAAGCATACAGTAAATTTGAAACACAATTCCCCCCCCACCCCCACTTCAACTGGCAGAAGCGCCAAAGTGTTTTGGTTTCGTTTAACTTCACAGGCAGATATATGGAACCTATGTGTTTTAAGAAGAGCAGGGAAGCTCACATTGTCGTCTGACAATATTTATCCCTGAACAAATATTGTTAAAAGGCTAGAGAGAAGGTATGTTCTACCCAGATTACAATTCCCACAAGTGCAGATAGTGCTGCAAGACATGTAACTTCCTATCATGATGTCAACACAAAGTTTTCACTTTGGTATTGCGGTACTTTGCTGTGTGCAAATTGACTACTCTGAATACACTCTTAAAGTACTTGACTGTAAAGTGCTTTGGAATGGCCTACAGTTGTAAAAGGTGCTGCATAATGCAAGTTTTTTTTTCTTCCTGCTAATAATTCAAAGTTAATTATTATCAACAGACAATAAGAGAGAAGAGCCTTCACTACTGCTGGTATTAAAGTGGGGTGGAGAACTGACTCCGGCAGGCAGGGTCCAAGCTGAAGAACTGGGTCGTGCTTTCAGGTGCATGTATCCAGGAGGACAAGGTAAAACATTTGTGTTTCATAATATATTCACGTCTAATATCTATCTACTGTATGTTCATGTAAACATTGATATTGTGCAAAATCAACCTGTGACCTTTGGCCTAAAAGTAATTTTTCATTTATCTTCATAGAAGTGAATCCTAGTTTTTTAGGGAAGCATGTACGTACATTTCACTTTTCAGGTGGGTGATGTTGACAACTGGATAAGACAAACAAACAGGCATGAAATCAGGATGCAGTGGTCAACTTCCACAGCAGACATTGAATAAATGAATGCTCAAGCCTTGTGTCTTAAACCATTGCCCTCTGCCTTCCTATGGAGGGGAGGCTCAGGTCTTGCCAGTAAGGCCATTGTATTTATCGGTACTTGCAATGTCCCTGCATGAAATTTGAAGTGAAGGGATAGGAACCAACAGGGTTATTTTCTAACTGCATGGCCCATCCTTTTCCTCCTTTGGCTCCTGAGCAGATATTGGATCTCTGGCTCCTGAACAATTAAGTTATTGGATCCACAGGCCCACCAACGCTCCCAGGGTGTGGTGCTGGGGGAGGCCTCTTAAAAACAGAGAGAACCAGGCAAAAAATGGCTTGAATGAGCATTGCTTCCCCCATTACCGTGTGGATTATTTTGACAGCTGTATAGGATGTATTTTGGTTGAAAGTAAAGGCATTTTTTTCGCCTGAGGAATAATATTCATGTGAACATTTACCTCTTAGCTTTTTGCATTAAAATAATCTGTCTCAAAAATTCAACTTTTACATAGGCATATATGATAGTTATGCCCTGGTGTTTTCAATCACTTTTGAATCCAGTATTATTATTTTTCTTAAAATTATACACAATTCAGATTGTCTTAACTCTCCATGAATCACAGCAAAGTGAAATTTCCATAGGCTAACCCACTAAGGCAAATGGAAATTATTCTCATGTATGTTTTTGAGGTTTGAACATAATTGTGCCTTTTTACCCTTTAGATTGCACAATGCCACATTTATTTGAAGCAGGAACCCTAAAATCATGAAAGCTAGTAACACTTATAAGCGATTTTTTTTTTTTTTGACACTGAAGATGAAAATATTAATTGACAACCTAAGGTATGATAGAATATAAAGATGCAAAGCACACTAACCAAGTTTTTTTTAAGAATTCCTCTTAAGGCAGGTAGAGCGTGAACTGCTGAATTTCAGGCTTCAAACTGGTTTTGTTTTTTTCTAACATCTGACCTAAAAGTGTTTCGTTTCCAGGGACAAACCTTTGTGTGATTATAGGCTTCATGCAACCATTATTTCCAAGACAAAATGATGCAATTAACATGCAATAACTGAACTCTGGAGTTTAACAGGCTGAAATGCTTTGGGCAATATTCTTCTATTTAAACCTAGGCATTGTGATGCAAATTATTTTCCAGATGAAACTGAATTTTATCTGATATATCAATCTATCTAAAATATTTGTTTTAAGTAAGTGGGAACTTGAAGGCTGTAGTAAACATTTTCAGTTCCATCTCAAATTTGTTTTCAAGACTACTTTTACAGTTGCAGTTTTGTTTACTATCACATTTCTACCTCCCTGCACTTTTGGTGAAATGTTACATCAGTACCTCCATCATTTCAAGGATTGACTTTTCTGTTGTTGTTCTCACTGGTTTCTCTCTAAGTTCCTGTTTAACTAATACTTTATAGCTTCGTCAAAGTTCTGAGCATCCATTACACAAGTTCTGTTGGCTTCCTATGTTGAAAACGAATTTTATGTATTTTATCTTTGAGTTCAAAACTTTCCATGGTCATTCTGCCCAAGCAAACTATTCTGGTATATGTCATTCTCTCCCAGGCCTTTGACACCAGGAACAGAGTTTTTGCCACCATGTGGCTGTAATCTGCCTGATTCATTGACCAGTCAAACTTGTTTTACAAATTTGTCAGGCCATAAAGGGCTAGTTTGTAATTTTTGTGGGATTGCCCAATGGATCAAGAATAATCAACACAAGTGGAAGAAGGCTGCAATACAGTGATTTGTGAATCACAGCCATGCCACTCAATTAGGTACAAATGGTACATTACTGAGAGAGGCAGTCAACAGTTGGCGTACAGGTGCCATTAGGTGAACAAAGATGATATGTGCACGTTTGATCCATTGAGAGTGTCATAACTCTTCAGGCCCCATGGGGTAACAGAGGGAGATCCAATAAGTATAGTGAGTGCTGACCCAACAGTTAGAGAGCCTTCGAGTTATACTGCATGGAAACAGATCCTTCAGACGAACTTGTCTGCAATAACCAGATGTCCTAAACTGATCGAGTCCCATTTGCCAGCATTTGGCCTGTATCCTTCTAAACCCTTCCTATTCCTCTACTCATCTACATACTTAGAAATTGGGATCCATGATAAGGGACAAAATGAGCAGGAGTGGACGCAAAGAATCAGACATGAGGAAAGCAGAGGTGAGAAACATGGTAGGAAGGCAATAAGTGCTGTACTGTCAGCAGCGTTTGTATTTTTGCAGAATAAAGCTACCATGTCAGAATTGGTGAAACAGGATATTGCACTTATCTATGCATTTGGATTTAAGTTTTGTTTTATAGCTGAGGAAATTCTTACTCCGGCAGTGCTTTCCGTGCCCTGTTAGTAGCTATTAAATAATTTCTTTGCTTCTGACTCCTTCTCTGATCAGCAGTGGATCTTGGTAATGTCTGTAAATAGTCAGCACTGTTGCATCTTGCAATTCCCAGCTGTTTAAAAATTAGCACAAGTAACATCTTTATTCAAGAAACGTTGGAAACAGGACACCATAGTCCTAATACCTGTCTTGTATAGGCCTAATATCTGTGCTATAATCCATTACTATGGAGGTTATAGTGGAGTACTTTGAAAATCATGATGTGGTCAGACGGAGCCAGTGAGAATTTCAGAGAGAGAAATCATGTTCAACCAATGCATTACATTTTTGATGTAACATTCAAGGTGGATAGAGCAGAACCAGTAGATATGGTGCACTTGGGTTTCAAAAGACATTTAAATGTCCCTGCTTAAGATAAGAGCACAAGGATTAGTGAGTAACAAATTAATATGGATAAAGGATTGGTTAGCTAACAGGAAGTAGAGAATAGGAATAAATAGGCCTTTTTCAAGTTGGAAAGCTGTGTAACTTCTGAAGTGCCACAGGGATCACTGTTGGGTCCTCCATTATTTACAATATATCCTAAATGACTTGATGAGGGAACCAAATTTGTGGCAGTTAAATTTGTTGATGACATGAAGATATAGTCAGCTGTTGAGAGGAGGTAGGGAATCTGCAGCAAACTATGGACACATTAAGTGACGGGCAAAGATTTACCACTTGTAGTGTAACATAGGGAAATGGGAAGTTGTCCACTTTGACAAGAAGAATGGAAAAGCAGTACACTATTTAAATGGAGAGACATTGCAGAACTTAGTGGTACAGAGGGATCTGGACGACCTGGATATAAATCACATAAAGTTAGCATGTAGGTACATTAAGTGATAACTAAAACAAATGGAATATTGTCATTTATTACAAAGGAAATTGGATATAAAAGGAGTGAAGTTTTACTGCAACTGTACGGGGAACTGAGACCACCTCTGGAATGCTGTGTACAGTTATGGTCTCCTTTATTTGAACAAAGGTACAATTACTTTAGAAACAGCTCAGAGAAGGTTCATTTGATTTATTTCTGGAATAAAGGGCTTATTCCTATGAAGAAAGGCTGAACAAGTTAGACTTATATCTATTGGAAACAAACACAGAAAATGCTGGAAAAACTCAGCTGGTCTGGCAGCATCTTTGGAGAAAGAGCAAGTTGATGTTTCAAGCCTGGTGTAATTCTCCTTTGGAAGGCAGGAAAAAAGACTGCGGATGATTGAGTTTTCAAGAAGAGTCATATTGAACTCAACGTTAACCCTGTTTCTTTCTTCACAGGTGCTGTCAAATCTGCTGAGTTTCTCCGGCATTTACTAAATCTGCAGTATTTTGCTTATATGTATCCATTAGAGTTTGGAAAAATGAAAGGCAATCTTACAGAAACATATAAGAACTAGAGGGACTGGATAGGGTGAATCTCCAGAGGATATTCAGAAGATTTCTTCCTGTGGGGAGACTTAAACTAGAGGGCATCATTTAAGAATGGAAGGTTTCCCTATTAAGGAAGTGATAAGATGAATTTTCTTTTCTCTCAAAGGGTCATTCGAGTGTGGAATTCTCTTCCCCCAAAGGTTAGTGGAGGCTGGATCTTTACCTAACCCAGCCATGAATAATTTTACATTTTTGATAAACAGAGGAGTTGAGGGTAATGCGTGGACAGGAAACTGAAGCTGAGACCACAACCAGATCAGCTATTATCACACTGAAGGCTGAATCAGGCTCGAGGGACAAAATGATTTCCTTCTACTCCAAAGCTCTGTGTTTCTTTGTCATTCATAGTCAGAATTGAGCTGTACTTAAAATTTCACAGGCGTGAAGGGTGATGAATCTTGCTTCATTGCTGGATTCCTACAGGTGCAGAATATCTTCAATTGCACCCATGACCATTAAATTGTTGAATGAACAATAGTGAGATTCAGCAAGAGGAGAGTGGGTTTGACAGTTAATTAGTGACAGTAGGTGCCCAGTGGAGATTGGACTTTAAAATATGGTCTCTAACGCTGTTAGTAACATGGCTGTACAGAGAGCCTCAGGAGCTACATCAGAAAACCAGCCCTATCATGCATTCTGGCTTTTGCCCCATCTCCTATTGGTCTCAGGCTTTGACTGCGATGACTGCTGCCATTTCTTTAAATTAAATTGCACTTTCAAGACCATGCGTCTGCTACTGTTTGTTGGCTGCTAACCCACCCTCCAAACAACTTGCTTTCAACTTAGAGCAAAGAGGTGATTAGAGCAATTGATGAAGTGTTAGAACCTGAAAATGATTTTGACATTAGGTTCCAGACCCCCAAAGACAATTCCTATCCCAGATTGCTTCCTCTACTTCATTATCAAAAGAGAATTTTCAATTATTAAGCCCTCAGCTCAAGAATTCTGACTTGCTGCCCATTTCCTTTTCCTAAAAGTTTATTATTCTGCTTTTTCTTTTCATGACTATTAGTAACATTTGGAAAGGATTGAATAGTTAATGCTTCTACACTTCCACCCTTGTTTTCTTCAGTGTATGTTATGTATTGTTTCAGGAGATTATGCAGGGTTTCCCGGTTGTGGTTTGCTCCGATTACACAGTACATATCGGCATGATCTAAAGATCTATGCATCAGATGAAGGAAGAGTTCAGATGACGGCAGCAGCCTTTGCCAAGGTTTGAAATTCTTTGTTTTATCCCACTAATTAAAACCTTATTACAAAGCTGTGAAAGCTGTAATCATTCAACTGCCCTCTTCAAATAATTTCCAAGAACAATATTTCTCTGAAAATAATTTTTCATACTTTTGTTCCTGAACTCATTTATCAACCTTGAATGTTAATGCTAACTCTGTCACCATAAGCCAACCAAACAAGTTCATCTATTTAATTTGATCAATATATCAGCCATATTCCAATTGGATATTTTGTTTAGATCCATGTAATCTACTCTGCAAGATTATAAATATGAATAAAGACACGAAAAATCATTCAGCCCCATTCAATTCATCCATCTGAAAAAAAACTCAGGATTTCTTTCTCCAACACCCCAGCAACCAGTTGTTTCCAGTTAGGTTACTTTATGCTACATTAATAATTTAATTATGAAATACATTTTGCTGAAATTTTATCGCATAATTCCAAAGTTAGGGTTCTGATGTATCTCTGGAGTGGAATAGTTAAGTTTCCATTTTCTGAATCATCGCATTCTACTTTGGATGTCAGGTCAGACGCATAAATTTAAACAAAAATTACAATGATACTTCTTGGAGCTGATGACATAGTGACAGTAAATACAACTGCAAAAGATTCTATATTTTCCCACCGTCACCTGGTACACAAGACTAGTTGAAGAGCATATGATAATTTGAGTGAAAAATCTTGACACAGGCCCAAAATTTCTCAAAATTGGATCTTTTCATTACAGTAGTGACTATGTTCAAAAGTAGTTCATTGGTTGTAAAGCATCGGACATCTTGGGTCATGAAAGGCACTCTATATGAGGTTTTATTGAAAAGTCTGCGTTGTACTAATATTTCTTAATAAATTTTTTTCTGTGACACTAGGAGTTAAAGCTTTAGGTATCTGTTGCAAACAGTAGAAATCTGCATGTCAATTTGGAGTACATATAAAATTGAAAGATCATTATTGCCATTATAACAGCCATTGTATATACTTGTTTAAAATGGTACATTTTAGATCTCGATGATCCTTCCGATAATAACATTTAAATATCCGAGTGAAAAGTCAATTTTTCTGTATCTTTACTAGGTTATGAAATGAAGCAAAATGTGCCAGAATATGCTATATCAACAATGTCAGTTAGTGGGTATCAGAATCTGGAAAGTAAAATTTGATTAAATTAATTGGCATTTCTGCTAAGCTGACAAAATAAATGATCAGTTATATAGTTGATTGTTATGATCCCAGCTGATGGTAATACTGGACAAATCAGATCCAAGAATGAAATTGACTTGATAGGTCATAAATATTAATTTTTGCCGTTGATTACTGTGGTGCCTAGCCACTGAACATATTCACATGAAGCCTTTAATATTCTTCAGCAAAAGAACATACATTTATTAGACAGAAAAAAAATCTAATATATGACAGTTTTGAAAGATATTAACATAAAGAACAAAGCAAAGTTTCAACATTTTTCCCAGCAATACCCTTGGCAGACGCTCAATCTCAGTCAAGAGTCACGTCTAGCCTAACTCTTTTAATTCCTTAGTTAACCGTTCCAGATTTGATGCCTAGAGACTTTTTCCAGTTCTGATAACCTAGATTCCTTTTTAGTTCTTAGGTCAGTCTGACAACTTAAACTTTGACATAAATTCTCAAGTTTGAAGATTTAGCAAACTAATTTGCTTTTCTGCCACAGTGAAACTGTTCTTCTGAATGAAACAGAACTCAAAAACAAAACCAATGGCCCTGATATAACAAGGTGTAGAGCTGGATGAACACAGCAGGCCAAGCAGCATCAGAGCAGCAGGAAAGGGCCTTCTTCAGAAATGGGGGAGGGGAAGGGGGTTCTGAAATAAATAGGGAGAGAGGGGGAGGCGGATAGAAGATGGATAGAGGAGAAGATAGGTGGAGAGGAGACAGACAGGTCAAAGAGGCGGGGATGGAGCCAGTAAAAGTGAGTGTAGGTGGGGAGTTAGGGAAGGGATAGGTCAGTCCAGGGAGGACGGACAGGTCAAGGGGGCGGGATG